GCTTACCGGCCAGAGCAATTCAATTCAAGTCACCAAATGTTTCTTGCGTGACACTTTGTAATGTTACCTTGTTTCCTCTCCAAGGTTCACCCTCTTTTGCGTCACACAATACAACGAAAAAGACTCTGAGAAGTACTGAAGTGATAGTGAACTCGTCCTCTACACCCAGTTACTCAATGGTTGGATCTCGAATGACCACTACTAAGTTTTCATCAGCACAAATTAACAGCACTTCTATCACGCAAGTTAATTTGACAGCTGTTACACATAGTTATGTGACACCTGTCACGCAGAGTAATGCTACATCTGTCACGCGATTCAGCACTCTTCAGAGTAGCACATTTGTAGTCACACCTTCCAAGTTTATTGGATCGTCGATAAAATCTAGAATTACTTTCTCGGACACAGTGAAAACTTCATCTATCACGCAAATAACTACTTTAAAGTTGATTCAGAGCAGTAAAACTAGCACTCGAACGCCGGTCATCACTGATTCAGGGATCAGAATCACGCAATCGACCGTGGAAATAGCAGCATCTTCAAGGATTCCAACATTTTCGTCATCAAGGTTCGAATCGATGGCAAAGAAAAGTAGTGTGACCGATAGTGCCGCGTCACGGATAGTCAGTAGCGTGACATCTCTCATGACATCAGGTGTGACACTTGATCGGACGTCTTCTGTTACTATGCAAACAGAGTTCGCTGTCACGACACTTGTTTCAAAATCATCGACAAGGAAAAGTAGCGTGACCGATACTGCCGGGTCACGGATAGTGAGTAGCGTGACATCTCTCATGACATCAGGTGCGACACTTGATCGAACGTCCTCTGTTACTATGAAAACAGAGTTCGCTGTCGCGACACTTATTTCAAAATCACCGTCAGGAACTCAGAAAACGTCGTCGGCGAGGTCGATAGTTAACGTGACAAAATCCTTGGATCAGAGCTTTGTGCCACCTTCACGAAGTATGACCTCATCTACCTTACGGTCGTCGGTTTTAAGGGGTCTAACAGCCTCTATATCTACAAGTATTTTAACATCAAGCACCAAATTCTTGACAGTTGTGACCAAATCAACCAAATTAGCAGCCACATCATCATCACCATCATCATCATCATCATCATCAACTACTACTACCACAGAGAAAGGCGCTCTTACATCAAAGCCCAGCTTAGTTGCTGAGACAAGTACTCCGCACAGATCTTTTACACTAACGACACTCAAAACAGTATCCTCGTCATCCTCTTTATTAGATAAATCTTCCGTTGGAAGCCGCATTCCGGCTCTCTCGCCTACAGCGGCTTCTTTCTCTTCACGTAAGTCTGGTGCAGACAACTCTTCCATGAGCTTTTCCTCTTTTGTCTCTGTGAAATTTCTAATCTCATACGGGACCTTAGTCAGTACTACCTCGTTTTCATTATCGCGCGCACCCACCTCATTTCGCGAAAATTTTTCCACTGTTGGTAATTCACAAAACCTCCGCTCGGATTCTCTTGTCACCCAATATCTTTCCACCCCCATTAACACTAACAACATAATCGACACCCCAAAACAAAGTTCCGGAAGTTTTCATACTAGCATCTCCCAAACTGTGGTTTTAGCTACAATCCCCCTGTCCTCAAAGCTAGTTCCTAATAGTGCAGTAATTTTCCCACGTTCTTCTAACCATTCTGGCTTTTCTTTTCATTTTTCTTCCATTTTAGGTCCGCTTCCAAGTAGCTCATCTCTGTCTCCATCCAACTCGACACAGACTGCAACACTGCCAGGCACAACTCGGACAATTAGCGTGTCACCATCGTCAACCTCTGTTGTCATACCAACCACTGCCCCGCCCAATTCACCCCCCGAGGTTATCAACAACTTGGGCCGGGTGATAGCCCCCGCAGGTGTGGCATTACATTATACCATACCCGAAGATACTTTTTATGATCGGGAGGACGGCGCCGACACGCGTAACCTGTCGCTTTCGATGAAACTTGCGAACGGTTCATCGATCCCGGAGGACTTTTGGTTGCAGTTTGACAGTGAAAGCCAGACTATCGACGGATTACCGCTAGACACGCATGTACCTGATGGGATTATGGGTCAGGTGCTGGTAGTGTATGCTCAAGATAGCCGCGGCGCTGAAGCCTTGGACGCCTTTGAGGTTTTGGTTGTTCCATCGGAAAATCCAGTTGTGCAAGAGTTAAACATCAGAATTACAAACGAGTTTGTCGAGTTTAGCCGCAACGTAGCTCAGAGGCTTTTACTGTTAAAAAAGATCGCATCATATTATGAGGATGCGGATGAATCAAACATAAGAGTGTTGAGTTTCAAAGCGGGGTCAGTGATAATGTCATGGACGAATGACTCGTTACCGACAGAGAGATGCGACGAGGAAAAATTACAGTACGTTGCGAATAAGATACTACTTTCCAATGGCGAAGTAAGAACGGAATTTAGGGGGGCTTTAAAAGGCTTTCCAGTGGTGAGTGCGAACGAGGAGCGAATGGGAGTTTGTAACGGATCTTACCCCGTCATAACTAATGCACCAATCGACGCAGGCGCACGAACGTCTAATGAAGAGGGTGACTTGTGGTACAAGCACGTTCTCGTTGGTGTGCTCATCGTCCTTGTTTTAATTGTCCTGGCCGTGCTACTGATCTGGTACTGTAGGAGACGGAGACCAAAACCTTCTAACGAGAAGCGTACCTTTAAGAAACGCAAGCCCATCATTCTGGAACCGGAGATTGAGTTAAAACCAATTCCTGGGAAACCACTTGTTCTACCGGATGATTCCCCGAGTTTCCCGCCATCATATATTTCGGAAACCTCGCTTGATAAGCCTGTTTCTTCCGATGAAGATGACGAAGAGGATTATGGGAAAGGTAGCCCTGGTGTTAGGTACGAGCCTCCCCCGCCTTTTTATGGAGTCCTCGATGACGAAGATCCTCGGAACACTCCTCCGCCGGCCTACCAGCTACCCCCAATGTTTTGAAGATTTTAGTTGCCACATGACACGAGTAAACTGGCGTTTTTTTCAGCAGACTTCTGAAACTAGGCACAAACTTTTGCAGCTAATGTGCTCTCGTATCTTGTCCTGCCTGCTCTCTAGAACAGAAAAAGGCGCAAAACTAGATCTCTGAGGTACTTCGAGATAAGGCGGTTTACGGGTCAAATCTCAAACGTTTGTTGCAGTTAAAGCTGAATTTAGCGTGGGAAAAAGGACATCTTAATTTTTATTTTAAGGACAACTATTTTTAAGTTCAACAACTTATGATTTAAATGTTCAACGAGAGTTCAGTTTTACATAAATTTAGGAGAATTTCTGAGATCTTTTTTACAATTGTAAATTTATCGTCGATCCAAATTTTATGTTTTCGAAACTTTTAGTCACGACCAGGATGTTGAAGATACTAATCGGTATTCAAACTGATATTTCAGTGAAAAAATGCCAAGTTACTTCTCTTGCTGAGAATGAAAATGAGATGAACCATGGGCAGTGAATGTTTTATTTTGATATTTGAACATTTCAACAAGAACGAATCTGAAAGAAGTGTAAGCAACACTGATAATCTCATTCTGTAAATAATAGCGCCGAAAATTTTTAGAACTTTGATGCAGTAGATAATATGTCAATTTGTACAAATTTTTGTTCTTGGCTCATACGGCTGTAAGATAGCCAGGACTTGAAAAAAGAAATGAAAATTAGTGAAACCATCAACAGTGTCCAGTTTTTCAGCGCACGTTCGATATTTTAGTGCAAGCCCAAGACAACTGATTCGAGGTCGAGAAACATTAAGCCGAGGCCATATTCTATACCTCAGAGCTCCTCACTTTTCGTGGACGGGAGGATCTTGGGGGGATTTATCGTGCCACGGTGAGCGAACCTTTGGGTTCTGGGGACGAGGGTAAGGCGAGGCTTACTTAGTATTGATGTAGAAAACAGCATACAATACTTCCTTCCCCCGTTTGCAAGTAATACTGCTTGTTGGGCGCTAGGACCCCGCAGAAACTAACGCCAACCGATGGAGGTTGTTTTCACCTTTCTAACGGTAGCGAGCCTTAATTTCGTCCCTTATCTTGACATCTCGCGCGCTCAATTCACTAGCTTACCTCGGTTTGAATCTAATCTTACCTGTCATAGTGTAATAACAAGTTTTCTGGCGTTTGAAGATATGCCATGATTTATATTTCATGTGATTTTCTTGTTCAAATGTACTCCTTAAAGAGAGTTTTGCGCTCAAGTTGGTTTGCAGTGATAACAACACAGGTTTCAGTGACTGTATTTGTCAAAACTAAACGAGAAATCTTTTGAATCTGGACAAGCAGTGTTAAGAAGGAAAAAATTCGAGCTCTCATCTCCGGGAGAGGAAAAGAATGGATAAAGGATGGACCCTTCAGGTGTGGAGAGGGAGGCAACAACGGCTTGACCAACATAAAACACACGGTCTTCATGTGAAAAGAAACAACAACAATAAACGCCTCTTTATTTGAAATAAATTTTTACATGGCCAGAATATCAGCCCTCTCCTCAAATTAATATCAAGTCATTCTCAAATTTGAAGTGTAGCGCGATTGTAACTACGCTAGCGCGGCTTTGGAATCACTAAACAGCTAAGATTCGCGCTCTTTGCTAAATCTCTGAAAACTTAATACATCTCTTCTTTATATGACAAAAAAAAAACAAAACATTTATACCAAGGATAATTCTATTTACAAATTTTAATTTAAACTGGTAACTATGCCAACCCACCATAACTTCGGTAATCAAAGATGTAAAAATCCTTTAAAAACGTTTGCTGAACAAAAGTGAAGCAAGATGAAATTAGGAGATCCTCGCAGCTAAGAACACTACTGAAACGAGTAGTTGTAAATAGGACCTGAAAAAATTTCAGGCCCGTACGGGATTTGAACCCATGACCTCTGCGATACCGGTGCAGCGCAGAGGTCATGGGTTCAAATCCCGTACGGGCCTGAAATTTTTTCAGGTCCTATTTACAACTACTCGTTTCAGTAGTGTTCTTAGCTGCGAGGATCTCCTAATTTCATCTTTCTACCGCAGTGCAAATATGTGAATTTTCATATATCTAAAAAGTGAAGCAAGCGAAAATTTACTTAAAATGTGGAAATCAAGCCAAAGTAATCGAGTTTAGATAGGTTTAAATGCTATTTCGATTAATTTCGCTCGAGTGCTTCCGAATCTTTGCAAGATTTCTCGGAAGGTTTACAAACATTTCCACATTTCATTGCAAAACAAATTATAAACTTTTCCTCTGAGAGAGTACAAAAATCTGTACACAGAAGTATATATTAAAATAACATTAATTGTTTCAACCCCCCCCCCCCCTCCCTTAAATAAAAATTAAAAAATGAAGTTTCTCATAGTCACTGCGGAACCAAGGTTAAACATTTAGTTCTAAATCTACTATGGCGCCTGAAAAACGTTGTAGAACGCAACAATCTAAAACAAAATTTAGTACGAAAATGGAAAGGACAACTTCCGAAGAGGAGGATGTCACAGAAGCAAATCGACTTGGAACGCAAAGGAAAAAGAAGCCCCACCCTTCCTTCCCACCTCTTACACAAGGTGTCTACACGTGTCGTCACATGGACCGACCTACAGGACTTGAAGGAGTACTATTACTAATCTGACTACGAATACTGTCACGCACAGTTCTCACGCATGAGAGAATCTGGAGCCGAGTGTGGGTCATGGAACCTGCATCCCAGCTCCGCGAGCGTACGGCTCGCTTTCGGGGGGTGCCAGTCGAGCGCGGTGGTTCACGAGCCTGTGTCTCCATATATGGAAAATCAGTTGAGGAGTCTGACATTGGAGTTCCCAGCGGTGTTTGGAGAGACGTTTCATCTATAAAGAGGAAATGAAGCAGAAAACACGTGTGCAACTCCCATTGGATAATAACGAAATCGTAGTTGTGACTGCAACAAGCAAAGAATGAGACAAACAGCTGGCACGCGCGTATTGCAACAAGCTAACGCACCTTCGGGAGTGGAACAATATGCCACTGCCGTAGTTTCCTTACACATACTTTCAGGATTCGGCTGTTTTAGGATCAGGTTTGTTGCTTCCCTTTCCCTATAATAAAGAAAATAAAAGATTGGTATTAAAAAAGCGGCTTCCAAATATTTGGAGTAATTTCGAGATCCTGTTATTTACTTTTACATGCATAAACGTATAAGTATACGAGCGTATATGCGTATGTGAAAACGTGCACACGTGTAGAATCATACGCACGTGCGTGCGTAATTGCGTGCACACGTGCGAGCGTATGTATGCGTCTGTTCAAACTCCTTACCCCGCAAATGACGTCAAAAACTCTTTAACATTCATAACCCCAATCTAAAAGAGGAAATAAACGAAAAAATTATATCTTTCGAATGAGGAAGAGCACAGCTAAAATAGATTCTAATGGCCCCTTAGAATAGGGAAAAATTTAATCTGCACTGGCTGATAAGCTCACCCCTCGCTCAAAGAACCACGGTACTTCCATTCTGTTCTTGTCCATATCTGTAATCAAGAGAAAAACTGATTTTAACGAAACATGCAAGGATAAGCCATTATTTTACATGTTGAGGAAGGGACATTCCCTCTTTTGTACTCGTAACATTGGAGCATACTTAGAGGAAAAATAAACACGAACTTTAAATCCAACGGAAATACAAATCACTTCTCATTGTTCTGTGCTGCAGTTCGGCTTGAGTCTGGGTGGTTCGAATCTTTCAAATTCGTAATAGAGGTACAAGACCGGTACTACTAGCCTGGCTTACCATAGCTGTTGCTCAGTGGTAAAACATCGGAGCGCAAAATCTGGATGGTATGGATTTTCTGATGGTATTTCGGTTTCGATTTCGATAAGGAGGACAATGACTTGAACCACGCTCGTAAAAACGAATAACACCCTTCTTTAAAATATCATAGGCAAAAGATTTCTGCTGACGCACCTGACAACAGAATCACGTGTCTGTAGACAGACACAAGTTCAATTTGTAGCTTGAGCGAGGTCTGTAAATAGCGCTGGGAAGACGGAATGCCTTCTGTTACGTAACCCTGGTCGAGAAGAACAAAACAAAAGCATTTTGAAATCAAATTGGTTCGAAAAATTGATATGTTCAGCATTCAAATTTAACAAAATTCCCACTGTAGTAGTTAGGAACAAAAGCGAGCTTTATTTGGCGAATCATGTTGACTGCTACGTAAAACAAAAACAAAAAAACGAAATTTCTTTTCGACAATTCTCAAGGTAAACTTGCCAAAGTCGCATTTCACAAGATCTTTCCGTTTACTAATATCCTTGTTCAAATACTATCGGTATCGGACATTTCAAGGGAAACTCGTCAAATTTTTCCAACAATTTTCCATAATTTCTGGGAATGTTGCAATGAATATGCTGCTTTCGAAGATAACCGCAAATCCTCTCACCTTTTGAAGAACTGTAACAAAACCTTCGTTCTTGTAATCGCGTAGAAGATTCTAGGGGAAACACGTTGAATTCAATTAAATTATACATATCTTCTTCAGTCATGTAACTATTCCAAGTAAGGTCTCGAATCGATGTGTATTCAAGTGCACACATCAAGATAAATCCCACGCCCTTGAAATTATACGCGAATTACCTCTCACTCGCCGCATTATCTCTCGCGTATGTCTTTACAAAATTGAGAGAGTAGAGTTTTTTGGCGAGCTACGATGAACGTTACCGATTAACTCATTAGCACCTTTTTGCTATTTTGATAATAAAGCTGCACGCCAAGCAACACATAAAAAAAAACTAACGAACAAAACAAAAAACCAGAACAGAGGTTAATCTGTCCGTTTGGCGAGAGCTTATTGGCTTATAAGATAAGCGGAGCATAACACTTCAAAATGCATGCAAAAGCGCCGACTACGCGAACTAAATTGAACCAAGAGTGAACTTACCAGAACTCTGGAGTCTCTTCTCGTCAGTGGCCTGTAGCAAATTAAACCAAAACAAAAAAAACAAAAAAACGCAGGGATTGAGCGGAGCCAACGCGATGACAGGTTTTCTGAATAACGATAAAAAATTGACGAAGCCAAAACTGACTCACCTGTTCAGAGAAAGTTTCTTGTAGCCATTTCGGCTGATGTTCAAGACCCAGACGAACTTCTGATGAACTAGGCTTTGTTCCTTTAGGTAGCGTAACAGAGCGTCAAGGTGATCTACGAGACGAAAGTAAAGCAAGAACGATACGGCTTAATAGTCAGGCAGCGAGCGAGAGAAACTTCCGGCTGCTGAAACACGATCAACACAGGGCTGAATAAATTCAAACCAGGACTGTACTGGGACCATTTAACGCTTGTGGTACAAGTGAACATTTAAGACTGGGCCAGAGGACATAAGTATCCCTAAGAGGTGCCGCATCTATATGTAACCCCTCACCCTGTCGCTCCCACCCAATCCCCTACCCCCCCATCTTACCTTTCACTCTTTCACTCCGCTCACCCCTCCCTCCTCTTCCCCCTCTCACTCCCCCCCAAAACCGTCTCACCTTTCACTCTTTCACCCCCCTCAACCTTCCTTTCCCCCCTCTCGCATACAGATGCAGACTGTCCATAGACTCACCAAGTTGAATTGTCTTCAGAAAGTTGTCATCGGCCAGCAAGGCACCACCCGAAACAAAGATGTTCTCGTAAAAACGGCTTCCTTCTGTCACGTCTACAAAGAAAGACGACGTCAACTCCACTCAACTAAACTAATCAACTAAATTTTTGTGACGTCCCTTTTTTGCAGTGAAGTTAATAGCAGTCTAACGGTGAGGATCAATTCGCAGTTGGTATTATGAATGTTTCGCATACCTGTTAGAGTGTTAAATAGGGAGAACTTGACAAGTGGTGACATCTTAAGTCGGTACAAGTTGGCCAACCTGGTGACAAAGAGGTAAATATTGAGAAATCTTAAGGAATATCGGCAATTTTACAGTGAGTACAGAACACAGGAAGAGGATGATAACATAGCCCATTAACCACTTGTCACAGAGACATTCACTCGGGAAAAATTCTGGGAATAACACGCTCCGAAAACAGATTTAGCCGTGCCAAACACCAACTATTTCTTCCCCAAAGGAGACAAAATAAAAGACAGAAGCAGCGTCTCTTTCAGCACTCCGGCTAAGTGAGTCGCACCCTCTATCTTGGAGAGGAGCCACCGTGCCCCCAAAAAGCAGAAGAAAAATAGTAGACTAGGTGAGACAAAACCATACTTATCTTCAGTTCCTTTATTTACCTGTGAACAGATGGCAAGTGTTTTTTTCTGATGAACACTTTCAGCTCTCGTGTATTTTCCTCCAAATATTTGGAGTTCCTGACATCCACAAGTGTTCCACCTGCTCTCAACATGTAGTTCTTACAAAAGAACAAACATACAGTATTGCAACCTTAAACAATTGAGCAACAGTGTACTATTGTTATCATAAAGTGAATGGCGATATCAAATGGCGATGCAAAGTAACGAGGATACCGCGGTTTGATATGTGCGTTGGTTAAAACCTGCACAAACTGTCTCAGTAAAGGGACATTGATTTCTAGAGCGTTAAAGCTTCAAACCGCTAAACGCGAAGGTCTGCCGTTCGCTTCATTGTTGGGGACTAATCTTTGTTTCACAAACGTGACACCCCGAAAGATCTTTCTTTAACTGCGACTCCTTTCTAAGGAAATGGCACAACATACAACATACAACATACCTTCAACGCTTCACACTCCCTGTCAACGTCTGGTGAATACACAAAGAACTGGAACTTCCTGTTAACACCTGGCTTTTGACTTCTCTTCTGAATAGAAGGCTTCCCTGATACTAAGAGAAAGTACAACAACACACTATAACATGATTTTCACAGAGGAACGGAAAGTTGACTGGCGTTGAGGAGTCGATTCTGGTTCTCAGTGTTGGGAGGGCACCGCTCTCAAAATTGCGCCATTTCTGCACCCATAGATTTGATATGTCTAAAAATTGTTATCACTACCTCAGCTCAGTATTTATAAATAAATAAAGTTAACGTTCAACTAGAGCGCTCAGAAAACAGAGAGGGATTTCGTTCGGTGTGGGAAACTAATAAGCATAAAAGCCCCTCCCCCCCTGAATAACAAACTACTTTTCGAGATGATACAAAACGCTATGTGCCTACAAAATACTAAGCACATGCATTTCACTAGTCAGTTTGAACAAACAAACATACCTCTACCGAGGTAACAACGTGCATCACTCTTTTCATTTGTAGACAGCCACTCTGGCTGCCCTACTCCACTTGGAGACTGCCCATCCAACGACCCCGTTCTGCAATCCTTTTCCTGTGGAGGGTTCGCTAAATGCGTAATATTGTTAAAGTTGAATACTCTGGAAGGACCCGAAGCTTCCTCCCCCACAGACACACCGCTGTCAGAGGGGCAGCTGCTCAGCTCCAAGTAGCTGCAATTTGCTTGACGAAGAATATCCTCCAACGAAGACACAGTTGAGGCAATGGTTTCCTCTGCGATGCGATCAAACGTTGACGATTGCCCTAACAGGTTTCTTAAGCCACCTATTGAGCTGAAAATGGTCTGCTCAGCACTCGCCATGAAGAGCGGATCAATGGGGCTCAATAGTTGCTCTTCAGATAAGTCTTCCTCCAAGTTTGCTGGTTCTTCTGCTCGTGGTTTGTAAACAGAGACAATGGGATTCTCCTGATAATTTTCATCTGTAACATTCTTCCTCGTTTTTCCTTTAATACCAATTATGCCTTCCTGTACACGCACTTCATCCTTCGCAAAATCAAGATTTTCTGCTTGCGATCTCCCTGATGTACCTTTAGGATTTTCCACCAAATTATCTCCCATCACCATAGTGTTATTGGGGATAACGTCAGGACTATCTCCACTTGATTTGTTGGAAGTGACTGATGAACACTTCAGCAATGACTCCACATCCACTTCCATATCAATTTTTCCTACTCCTAGATCATTTCGAGAGACGCATGAAAGCGTTTCTTGTCGTTCGTTACCAGAACAACCTGGAATCTCCTTGAGGGCGTCATTGTTCAAGAGTTCCTGATCCTCGAGTAGGTTTGCATCAACATCAGGATTCTTCGCTGCTGATACATCTAAAGATTTCCCCACCGATACCTTATCGTCTTCAGCATGCAATTGAACACCAGCTGCTAAGCTTTGTTGGTTTACAGTGTCAGCAGAATCCAACTTGGCCGGCTTATCTTGAATTGAATATCCGTTAGAGCTTTCAGATCTCTCAATAACCATAATGGTGGCATTTCTTTCCTGGTCAGAGTCTATTTCCATATCACTTGTTTCTTCATGTTTTCTGCCGCTCTTTTGCACTGATTCCATACGAGTCGAAATGCAGACACCAGAGTTCGTTTTGGCATAATCTTCCTTCTCTTTCAGATCACTGTTTCTGTTGCCGTTTGTGTTATTGATTTGAATTGAATATCCGTCAGAGCTTTCGGATTTTTCTTGATCAGAGTCTATTTCCATATCACTTGTTTCTTGATGTTTTCTGCCGCCCTTTTGTGCTGATTCCATACTTGTCGAAATGCAGACACAAGAGTTTGTTTCAGCATCATCTTCCTTCTCTTTCAAATCACTGTTTCTGCTTCCGTTTGTGTTATCGATTTGAATTGAATATCCGTCAGAGCTTTCGGATCTTTCGTTATCAGAGTCTATTTCCATATCACTTGTTTCTTCATGTTTTCTGCCGCTCTTTTGCACTGATTCCATACGTGTCGAAATGCAGACACCAGAGTTTGTTTTAGCATTATTTTCCTTCTCTTTCAGATCACAGTTTCTGTTGCCGTTTACGTTATTGCTTTCGGTGTAAAACTGCATCAAAGCCGAAACCACCGAATGATCCATTACACTCTTGGGTGGTCGCCTATCTTCATCATCTTCATCTTTATTGGCGACTTCTTGCGCCACTGAATCCGATGGAAATATTGTAGAATTGCCACTTGCCTCTGTCGGAGACAGAAGTTCTGAACCAGGAGGACAACTATTAACAGAGCTACATGCAACATTCCTCGGGAGCGAAGGACGAAGAGGAAGAGGAGGTGGAGGAAAGTGTGGAATGTGGGTTTGGGGAAGAGGTTCCAGAGCTGAGGGCACTGTACCTGGAACTAGTTTTAGCACACCAGGATCACAAGACGTCAACACACCAGCAGCAGCAGCACCAGCAGTCGTTGAAGGGGTTTTGTGGGCTTTGTTGAGCTGATCTGAACTTATACCGATTGAAGCCTCAATTGGCAATGCATTGGCAACAGTGGAGGCTGTCCTCTCGTGACCTGAGCCATCTGTCTTCTCTTCTGCTGCCAAGGTTTCAACAGGAGCTTCATTCATGTGATTCTCCTTCCTAGTTTTAGGATCGGAAATCTTAATACCTGCCCGTTTTTCTCCTTCTCCTTCTCCTTCTCCTCTTCCTCCACATCCATCAGGACCTAAGTCAGGCTCTGCGAGCATCTTTTCTTCTCCTGTTTCGCCTTCATCAGGACACTTTGGAGTTTCATGACCAAGACTACCTTCCTCACGAGAGTTATTTTCAACATCTGGGGTACTCTGTCCTGCTAAACTTGGTTTTTGGTCTTCGAAGATTACAGATCCACTCCTCACAACCATAGCTTCGTCGGCTGTACTTTGATTCACCTCGACATCTTCAGTAACCTCCTTGACGTTCTGCGGCGTATCGCTTGTGTCTTTTTCATGTTGTGAATTCAAATCCAAAGAAAAATCTCCGATCGACTTTAACTCGTTCACATTCTTCATATCAGCAGTTACACACAGGTTTGCCTGTCTGTCTTTTGCTTCACGATTCCCCTCAGAAACAGCATGGTGTAACACTACATCATCTGCAATATCATGCATATCTATGTCGAGCGGTTGATGCTCTTTATCCTCACTAGAATCGAACACTTTGGTTGGAAAACTCTTAATTACTGCATCCTCTTTATGAATGCTATCACTCTCTGCGCCAGCTACTGGCCCTCTTTGTACGCCATCTCTCCCACACTCGTTTCCCTGATCCCCCAACGACACATCGTCGTGTTCTTCCTCTTCTTCAGACGAATCTTTACCCAGGTGAACATGTGAACAGCTGGTCTCTGGATGATTTGGATCATCGTTGTTTCCAGTAACTCCTTCCACCTCTGTAACCAAACCTTTTTCGAAAATAATTGAAACTTCTTTATCACACAACAGATCATCCGTCTTGGGATGAACAGAATAATCGCATTCAACATTAACATCAATGTGCTTTTGTGCAAAATTTTCAACCGGAGTGCAAGGTGATACCGAGTGATTAACATGCGCGCTTTGTACAGAACATCTCTCAACATTCCCATCTTCCTTTGAAACAGAAACAGAACTGGAACTTGCTTCTTTATGAAAAGGAGTAAAACTTTCACACTGCGTCTCCGCGTTAACGTCATCAAATGCAGGTTCTGGAGTATCTGCGTCCTCTGTACACGGCCTTGAGCTTTGACATAATCGCCTCAATCGCTTCTTGGCTCGACGATATAAACGTTCTGAAGATCTGCGTTTAGATTCTGGGGTAATTTCAACAGTGCAAGTTTGGTCCGTTCCAATGGTGGCCAGTTTAGCCCCGTGGTTCTGCCTTCGTACCCAGTTTTCAAGCTGCACTTTATTCATCCACGCAAAAACATATATGTCCCATTTTTCTGGCTTTTCAATCCCGCCAGATTTACCGTGATTAGCAGTTTCTGCATCTTGAACCACCTTAGGTCTCTTGTCAGGGCTGTCTTCATCACAACCAGTATTTTTTCCAGTGGCGCTTTGACTTACTAACTTGGAATCTAAACCACCAGAAAGAATCCAAACAATTCAAAAATATATATATATATATATGTATATTTTGTAATTTCATTCCCTAATTTCCCTCAGATGATAAGGAAACCATGCCTTTCTGATTTCACTTCTATGCCCTCAAACGAAAATCATGGGAATGACACCTCTTGCTGGAGTTTATTAAAATTTGTCCACGGCGCTATAGCACTTTTCGATTGACTATGGAAAGTAATCTAGAACTGCTTTGGTTCTGCTTCAATGCGCTTTGTTATCAGTAACGAGACCACACCCTAGCTTTTCAACCAGTCAGATGCAGAAGTGAAACCAATCCTAATTAATTTCATTATTGTTCGGAAAAAAAGATAAATTCAAGGATAAAAACACATCATTGACAGCTACTCTCAACTGTTCACAATCTCTTTGAAAATATCTCTCAGGAGAATATTTGTCCTTTCAGTGGCGCGCTGATTCCTTTCCAAGGCCGAGCACGCAATTGTCAAAACTCGGGAACCTAGCTAGCCAGCCAGTATGGATGAACTGAACCACCAATCACAGGAGAAGAAGGGTAAACAGTAGATCCTCGAGCCCAACTTCTCTCCGTCTGTGCCTACGTACTAAGTCCTTCGACAGATCATCAACCCCCGATGACTCATGACACAGAAGTGACACAAAAGTTAACCCTTTCACTCCCAAGAGTAACTAATAAGGAACGTCTCCCTACAATATCAACATATTGTCCAGTAGAGAGGTGATTGCAAAAAGGGAACTTATTGACTTAGGTATGCTGTTTGATTTAACGCCAAATTCTCCGAGCGAAAACTGAAGGGAAATAAGGGAAACTGTAAAGAGAACCGATCTTTTGATCTTGGGAGTGTAAAGGTTGAGTGTTTGGTTAAGATTGTGAACGAGCATTGCTGAAAGTAGCTGATTCAGATGTATCCCTAACCAAGTGAATACAACACCTGCCTTCTCCCCCAACTGAAGTTCCCTGGCTGTGTGACGTTCCCTGGCTGTGTTTGACCTCTTCACGGCTCTTCCACGGATATCTTTTCTCGCGAATTGTTGTGCGATGCTTTCCTTCCTATCAGAAAATAATCATTCAGGTAAAAAAAAATTACACCGTATGGACAGTAAAAAATATTTCTGAAAGGTTATTTTTATCGAGAAAAAACAGGCCAAACTTAATTGTATCCAGTAATGCTAATCACTTATCGTTTTGTTGCAAAACTGCATCTTTTCGAGACTATAAAGCAAATGTGGCCGAGTAACTTAATTCGACTACCTTCTGTGTTCCTCTAGGTGGTTTTTGGGCGCTATCCCTGTGTGACTTGTAATGTTGGTGTTGATGATCAGGGAGTCCATGGCCATATTCAAACACTTCAGACTGAGGAAGCTCTTGACCATACCTTGAAATAAAACAAGGAGAACAACATTTCTGAAAGTAGAAGGCTGACAGGCCAGCGTGGACACTATTTTGTTTCTTAAGTTATACATTGAGAGCTACTCTGTAAAAGATGTCGTAGGCGTTCCAGGAACTTCGAGTTAATCGTCGGATAAATTCTGAACGTGGAATCCATCCACACATCTTAACCTATAACTGGTAAATGGTGCACGGAAATTTGTGAATGTGAACCCCTTCCGTTTCCCTTTGAAAAATCCAAACGACGCCCAGTCATTATCAGTCCTATTCCCTAAGTAAAAAGAGAATGGTTCATCTAACAAAATAAAACCATTGGTCAACAAACCTTGCAATGTCCTCATCACTTTCGTGTGCAGACTGTGAGATATAATGACCAGTGCTGTCATCCAACGACAAAGATTCTTTGTGAACTCTGGGCACCACCAGCTCTGTCGGACCCAGACTTCCCAATCCCAAGTCACGTTCCTCAGAGGTCGTCGTTTGGCAGAAGAAACCCTCAACTAAAAAGCAAACGCAACGAAGCTTAATTTTGCTTCCTCTGTCTCAAGTCGTGGATCCAATATCACGACTTATGAGCACTTTCTCCAGAAGTGGCACGCATTAATATTATTCAATGAGGCTTCATGTACACGTCATACAAGTCAATGCTACGCTTTTCCTACTGTGACGAGGGGGCTTCCAGATGCGGTTATTCAATTTCCTTGGGTTCTTTGCTTCCTTTGTTTACCTCTCTCTCTCTCTCTCTTTCTCTCCCTCTCCCTCTCCCTCCCTACCACATTTCGAGGTGAGCAGTTATTCCATAAACCGGTTCGTCGGTGTTGAGTTGACAGAAAGAAGCGCTATCGCTCGATGACCTCTAGGTTGCTAAGGTGATTCCTACCCTCCTCTGTGGCTACCTTCAATTTACGCTACCTTCCCTCTAATACTATTAACCATGAGTTTTCACTCTTGTAAAACTAATTATAAGTCTGAACATTAATATAACTAAGACACTAACCTGGCCAAGATGATCGTGATATACAAGGTTCTTGAACGACATCCTGAATCTTTTCCTCTCCAAAAGCATACGGTACTTGGCTTTGTTCCACCCCTACAAGAGGGTGCTCTTCAAGGTATGCCGGTGGAGATAAAGTTGGCGACAACATCTGTAAATCGGACACCTGCTGATGTTCATCGCTAACGACAGCTCCAGCTGGTTTGGAAACTTCATTTGATTTCAGTGGTGCAGCCCAGAATCCCAGACTCGGGTGAGTAAAGTCCATGGCTGGAGTGGCCGTTTCAGGTGTGTCTGGAGTGGTTGGCCAGCTCTCAAAATCAGAACTGAGCTCACCTGGACTTATGTCTTCAAGGTCACTGTACTCCATGTCAGTTAGTGGTCGTTTCTTTGTTGGCAAGGCAAGATACGGATTAGAACTTACTTGTAACAGGCCTTTGGGGTTTCTAGTACATTGTAGCATGAAGAACACTTAGCGGAAGTAATATTTAGCGAACTAGCTATTTATGTATTTTGCAGGAACAAATTTTAGTGACCATGATCATAATAGTGAATTCCAAAAAGAAAACTTTGGTGCGTTGTTTCTTCAACTATTCGGGTATTTTTATTAAAGAAGGAACAGATTCTGCAGATTGGGTGAAGTTTGATCACACGACGAAAGTTATCTAAGCACGCTTGACAGGGTTGCATGAAAGATCTACAAAATACACGCCAACATATATTTGTTTCCGCCTGAATGTGACTCACTTTTTCTGCTTCTTCTGTTTCAAGCAGATCTGCCTCTTCCTCTTCCACTTCTTCTTCTTTCTTTTCCATCTTTAAAGGATCTAACGAAAAGAATGTTTCAACACTTGGTTATTTCCTTAGAGGGCATAACGTTTTAAATAGTATGTCTGTGGAATGTAAACAGGCCAGATTTTAATTTTACACTGTTTATCTAAGCACCTTCTTTTTGTCTGTACGATGTGTTTCACAAGAAAACATCAGAAGTAAAAGAGAAGTAAACGAATATATAGTTTGGAGTTAGTTTGGACGCAGAGTTCTAAATTCAGTTCACGATTACATACTGTAGCCTACGCTTCTCTAAATGCAATACACACGATGCTAATTTTAAGCTCAGTCACTGACTACAAAAAGATGATATATATACACTCATAAAAGAGGGGGAAAAGGAAACCGATTCAAGTCTCGATAAACGTAATATTTGAATTTCAAAAAAGACAAACGATCCAAGCAGTTTTGTGTTTTGGTTTGATTGAGACAATTCTCAAAACGAATTTGTAATGATTACAAACAAGAGACCAGTTGATATCAAACCTAAAAAAAAAATTGAAAAATTTAAAAACACTTCTATTTTAAACAGTATGCGTATCAACAGGTTCATCGCATCCTTGTCTATCTTCAACTGACGACTGGAAATGGAAAAACAATTAAAATGTTTTCTTCTGTTCGCAGTTCCTCGCCTATCTTGCTCTACCCTTGTACACTTCCCTAAAGCGTACTAACTTGTAAATTCTAAATTTAGTTACCTTGTAAAATGGTGATCTTCAATCCACCCTTCAAATCGCTCACAATTCGTGGAGGCAGTTCGCGCCTCGACAAGTTGGATACGCGCTCCTTTGGTTGCCTGCATGACTCTTCGTTTAACTGCCCATCTCTGTGAGAACCATCCCTATGGGAGCCGGGGGATGCCATGCGGCCTCTCCTTTCGTGTACGCTCTTCTTGCTTCTCTTTGTCGGAGAGGACAACTCAGAGGAGTCATAATCTTCGCTTGAACTTTTCCATAGCTTTCTTTTTTGTGCTGGAACCGTCACGTACCTTTTCCGCGCTTTGGGTCGTTCAATGAGGGCGCTGGAACTATCTGCTTCATTTCGGACCACTTCTAGTTTAGGTGTTATCAGCTCTTCAGGCGTTTGGGTTGGCACACTGGTTGATGCTTGATTGTCAGTATTGCGAGTTACTTTCGATGACCATCGCTGTTTTAATTCAATATCGAAAGATCCATACTCTGTAGACGCAAAAAGGACAACATACGAATCATCAGTTGTTTACATGTGTCACACTCCTGGCAGACTAATGCTATTTTCACGTTACCATGCCTCAGAGTCAAGGTCAGGTCTTGACGGCTTAAAGGCCAATAACAGCAAAAGCTTGTTCGCGGTTTCTGGTCTATTGGAGGCAGCCATCCCCTCCTAACCCCATCTCTACGTATCTTTTTATTTCCTCTTAGATTTTTACCCTTAGATGGTGGAAAGGGGCTAGCCCGGGTCCCGTGCGTGGTCGCTGCTCTTCACACTGAACTAAGAAAGTTAAGTAACGAGTTGTGTCTGCACCTAAGCTAAGTATCTCATGCAGCCAAGGTGTTCCATAGTTTCTGACGCATGAGGTAACCAGGAGTATTGAGACTCCCCCTGGATGAGATGCCAATCCATTGTAGGTCATACGGTTTCCTTGAAAAATTATTTGCCGATACCCATTTATACTCCTGGGAAGAGAGTGGCACTGAGCAATTAAAGTTTCTGACCAAAGAACACAACACAATGATAACACGCTAGGTGACCGCAATTCCAACAATTTGACAGGTTGAAAATGAAACAATTTCAACGAATTGAAGGAGCGAAAGGGCAGAATGTTTCAAACCTTATTTCTCTCTCTTTGAACTAACTAATATCTTCGAGACTGAGAGCAGTAACAGAAATCAATTAAGTGACCTCTTTCCACAGTAAAGAAAATAATGTCACATTTTAACATCAATTTTAAATTTTCGAATACTTTACCGGGAAGGTCCCTTTCTGGGGTTCCTTCATCAGATATATCACTGACATCGTCGTATTCACTCTCCCCTTTAGGCAACGTTTCCTGTGCTGTTTGGTGCGACGGCAAGCTACTGACACCATGTGCTCTAGTCTCGCTAGCATTAAGGGTTGAAGACTCTTCAGGGCCTCTTTCCTCAGTGCTTGTCTCAAAAGATCCTAAGTCAAGGAGCTGAACAACACGTAAGCCACTCTCCAAATGGATGGCTCTTTTCCTGGGGGAGCTCTCCTCTCCACCAAATATCAGTTTACTCTCTTCTGCGAAACCTTTAAGTGAAACCAATCCCTCATCAAAATAAACTCAATCCTAAGTACTGTACTGGTAAACAATTGAGTAAACAATACAGTAGGTTATGATAAAATAGTCCTCTATTTGGTGAGACTTTTTGACTCTCAATCTATACTCACCCTCTTCGTGAACATACGATTCATCAACCATGGCACTAGGATCTGGATTATCAGGGTTGCTAAAGATGTCGACATCCTCTAGCTCCTCTTCAGCTTCCTGTTGCACTTCCCCTTGCTTCCCTTCCACCTCCTCCTCCAACCTCTCTACCTCCTCCTCCACCCCTTCTGCCTCCTCCTCCATCTCCTGCTCAAACCCTTCCACCTCATCTTCCAACTCCCCTTCCTCCTCCACCTCTCCTTCCACTTCCTCCTCCACATCTCCTTCCACTTCCTCCTCCACATCTCCTTCCACTTCCTCCTCCACATCTCCATCCAATTCCTCCTCCACCTCTCCTTCCACTTCCTCCTCCACATCTCCATCCAATTCCTCCTCCACCTCTCCTTCCACTTCCTCCTCCACATCTCCTTCCACTTCCTCCTCCACCTCTCCTTCCACTTCCTCCTCCACCTCTCCTTCCACCTCCTCCTCCACATCTTCTTCCCCTTCCTCCTCCACATCTCCTTCCATCTCTTCCTCTATCGCCTTTTCTGCACCAGATCTGGACTCATGAGCATTCCTTCGAAGAATGTCAAAGATCTTACTGACTGCTTTAGATCCCTTTCGTTCTGCTTCAGTTCGATAGGGTGTGGTGGGCAAACACAAAGGATGGTTGATGTCAAAAAGGTCAGAACTGTTTCCAGAGATGGACACATCACTGTGTTCATCAATACTTCCAGGAGGTTCTGTTACATGGGTTTTGGATTCCTTGTATTCTGCAGCAGTGTGATATGTTGTGGTGGTTAAACCATTGGATGGTTTACTGCCCAAAACGTCTGTACTACTTCCTGAGATTGCTATGTCGCTGTGCCTATTACTTAAAACACCTGAAGGTTCTGTTGAAAGTTGAGAGATTGAGATTTGACACGCAGAGGCATCAGCCAGAGGAGGGTCCTTAGCTTCAGTGCTTCTTTCCTTTGGTACGTCGTCCACATTGTCATCTTCTATCAAACCTACATCGTCAAGGTTTCCTGAAACATTACTGCATCCTTCTCTTGCTGGTTCAACCACAATTTGATTTTTTTCATTGTAAATAGACTCGTGAGTTTGCGAAAGTTTCGTGGGTGATTCATTTGGCTCTGTCACATCCATTTGGTCCAACCCTGATGATAAGCCTTGCGTTCCTGCTTCATTTATTAATAACAATTTGATTGCTGATTCTGTAGGTTTCTCTAGTGTTTCTACAGCCTCGGTGCCTTCCTTTTCTGTCTCTCCTCTACTCTGGTCCACTCTTTCCATAGACTCCTCGGTTGGCCTGGTTTCAGTCACGTTCTCCTTCATAGGCATTTCTTTCTTGTCTTTTTCGCTACCTGTTATCTCTCTGTCCTCTTTTGAAGAGTCGAAAACTGTCATCTCTGAGTTGCTTGTTGCAGCATCAGTTTGGTCTCCTATTTGAGTGCTAGAGTGCTGTGCTTTGTTCATCGTTCTGACATCATCTGAATCGTTTTCATTTTGGCCCTCTTCAGCACCTTTCTGCCACTTTGCAAAACCGAGATGCTTGTTGTTTCCTTGCCTTGTCTCGTCTTTTTTAGGGTCTTCATCCTTTCTAGTAATTGTGGTTGCCAACTCCTTTGAATATCTTTGCTCTATAGATTGTGGAAACATTACGTTCGCATAGCCTTTAGCGCCTCCGCTGGGGGCAGAACCAGTTTTAATCGGAGCAACCCAGAATCCAATAGGACCTGGTTGTCGTGGTGGAAACTGAGGCACTGAAGGCCCTGCACTATACATGGGATGCACAGGCATCTTTTGTAGGGCTCCAGGAAGACCACCTCGATGAGGGTGTCCTGGCCCAGTGGGAGGTAGAGGAGGAACACTGAACCTCTGAACTGGTATTTGTGAAAATCTTTGAGGTGGCACAGGAGGCATCTCTGGCACTGGTCTCGGAAATGGCACACTTGGTGGGAAAACATGATGAGGTCTACCAGCTGTTGGTGGAAGACATGGTGGTGGAAGAACAAGCCTCGGATGAGGAGTGTTTGCAGGCCACCGTGGCACCTCAGATGGAGAAATTGGTGCAATGCCTGGTGGAGGTGGCATATTCGCAGGGAAGGCAAACCTCTGATTGGGTTGAAGAGGAGGTGTCCACTGCTGTTCATGGTGCTGAATGGTTGGATGCGAAGGTAGAGGTGGAAACGATGAGCTGCTAGGTGCAGGCCGAGGTGGTAGGGAAGTGGGTAAAGAAGAAATAGGTGTTGGTGAGATGGGAGAGTATGGCACAAACGTTGTGCCTGGTGGTGGAGGGGGAGAACCAAAGGGTAGGGTTCCACCAGGAGGCGCAGATGAGACTGATGGAGTCTGAAGTGCTGGTTGAGGACTTGTGCCAATAATTGACTGAGGTAGGAAAGGGGATGAAAATGGTGCAGAATGAACTGGTGGTGGATTTGGCTGGCTTGTGCATGGTCCCATGCTCAATGTACTCCTGTAGGGCCCTTGAGGAAGGGGAGGATTGAATGGAAAACTCGATGACGCTATGGCAATCGGAACTGTTGAAGGAGTACTTGCTGGAGTTCCTACAGAGTGGTAACGTCCTTTGGAGGAAACCACAGTTATAGGACTAACTGATCCTGTTGGTGTGGTGCATTGGGGACTCAAATCCATGGATACAGGTGACTTTCTGTCCCCTTGGATATCAGCTTTTTCCTCGTGCTCTGTTTCCTCAGACCGTTTTGTTACCTTAGGCTCTGGTGTTTGATTATGTTCATCACCAGATGATTGTGCAAAAACCTCTCTGGAGTCTCTCTTCTTAAGAATCAGTGTCAACTTGGGTTTTTTGGGTGGCGCATCAGAATTTGATTGTGGTCTTGTCAGGACATCACAAGATGGAATTGCCGGAGGTGGGGCCTCAGACAATTCTGGTACAGCAGTCTCCTTGATCGGCTTACTATTGGCTGGTGTTGCCGGACCTTTAGGAGTACTTTTGTGCTGTTTTGACCCCTTCGTTGGAGAATCTCCCAAAGCTTTCTTTTCAGACCTTACAACAGGTGTCTGTTTTTCCTCTCTTCTCTTCTCGATACTTTTGAAGTTTCGCTCTCCAGATGATAGTGTGGACAATACTGATGCATTACCTTGATATGTTTGAGATCTTTCCCCTTTCATCTCTGTTGAACCCACACCACTACGGCTTCTCTTCATAGACTTCTCATCAATCGTTGAAGACATCAACGTACCAGCAGTTTTTGCTCCCTTTGCAGCGTCTTGTGCCTGACGTTTCACACTCTGCGACTCTAATTGATTCTTCATCATGTCCAAGGTTTTTCTTATACCATCAATCATGGTGGACATTGATTCTTCAGGCTTCTGTGATTTCAACTTGTTTAACAGCTCTCTTAGAAATCCGCTGTTTGGGCTTGATTCTTCAGGTTTCTGTTGTTTCACCTTTTCCACAAAATTTCTTAAAACCTCACTGTTCGATTGATAATTCGTATTCGATTGCTCAGACATTGGAAATTTTATCTTAACCAACAACTCGTTCAGAAATTCACTATTGATTTGATACTTGTTCTGTTGATTAGCAGCTGTTATTGGTGATGTATATGCAACTGGAGCAGAATTCGGTTTCACTCCCCGAGCTTGCAGCGACGCTTGCGCATTAAAAGGCACACCATGGCCACTTCTGCTAGATGACGTGGCTGGCTCACCGTCAACAGAGCGCCTCAATCTCGGATCTTCCCTGTGTTTTTCTTTCCTCACAACAAGAGCTGGCGAAGGTAACACTGTGTCTTTCTTAGCCACGTCATCCAGTTTGAACTGTTGCAATGAGACATCAGCATGCTCTCCGAGAAAACCTTGATTTTTCTCTACATTTCCTTCATGTCTTTCAAGTTCATCTTGCTTTCCAAGGGCTACTTTCTGTTTCTCTGTGTTGGGTGTTCCAATTGGGATGTCTTGTTGTCCAGAAAACACTCTGTGCTGTTCCATATTTCCACTAGTTCTAAAATTCACATCTTGTTTCCCAGACAACAGTCTCTGTTCCTCGTTATTACCACTTGATCTTGCACGCACATCCTGAAAAGGCAAATTTGGGACTACTCTGGGACCAGGAACATAAGTAGGAGCGGAAGAGGATTGAATTGTCGACTTCTGAAAATCTCCATCCATGCCTCCTAAAGGGTGTGGCCTGCTAAGCCAACTTTCCACTCTACGCTTCCATGTCACCGTTTGCTCGTTTGTCAAACCCTTATCACACGACACAAAATCAGGAACATCCTGCCTTTCCATGTGACTGGATGCCGGGGCAGCTAATGGTCTCGCAGAATCTAAACTGTGCCGTCTCGGTTCATTGAGCTTCTCCTTGTCATCAACCTTTGTACTCAGATGTCTTTTCAGTTCCTTTTGAATTTGACTTACTCCCAAATCATTTGCGGTTACTGAGCCACTTTTCGCCGTGTTGATGACGTTCTCTACGAGGAGACGTAAGAAGAAAATAGCATAAGTATGACATCAGGAGCAACACAAATTGCATAGATAAGTAGCGGTCTACAAACACATCCAAATAAGGATTAGGACATCACTGGAAAAACAGGTACACCGAGAAATACCCAAAACTACGTCTGCATCCAGAGGACTTTTGTCACGTTGTACTATCTACAAGGAAACAAATGCTTGCTTCCAAGCCTTTGTTTCCTCCATTAGGATTAAGGACCTGGTATTTGAGTGCTTACTTCCATCTGTTACTACATGAAATAATATATAGATTTAGCCAAGCCTAAAAGCGGAGCTCGCATTTTTTTTTCCCCCGCACGTCTCAAGGGCACAACGCCTTGCCCCGGCCAGGACTAGAACCCGGGTCGTCCGACTCGGAGCCCAGTGCACTGACCACTGGACTACTGAACAAAGTCGTGGCGTTGGCGTGCCCGCGGTACAGTTGACCACGCATGCTAAAAGTAGCACCTTGTACGGTCGTACATCCATATTTTTTCGACATTCAAATACTGTGTAGCAATCATATGACGAGTTCGTAGACGAAACAAATTTAGTACATCACGTAACGTGTCGAAAGTAAACACAAATCAGTGTTTTTTCCCTGAATAAGGTAATGCGATAAATCTATGTTCATTTTCCATGGATGTTGTGTTGGATGTCACCACTGCTCCCTTTTCACACACCACTTGAATCTTTTAACTTCCAGAAGTGATAAACATGTAAATTCTCCCTACAATATCCATACATTACCCAACACAAAGATAATGAGAATACCCAAACTTGTCAGGTAAAATTGATGATCCTGATCTAACACCAAATTTCGGTAACTAAATTGCAAGAGAAAGTGTTGTAGCTAAAGAGAAGAATTAACAATGAATCAGATCTAGGGAGTTAGAGGGTTGAAGTAGTTGTTTACCTTCATAAATAAAATTTTTTCTTATTTCTTAAAATCAAGTGAATAATTACACAGTTGTATGATCTGGGCATTGAGACACACACTTACCTCTGCCAGTTTTCTGTTTCTTCACAAAGAGGAGAGCATGAAGTGTTGCTGGTGAATCTACTGTAGTGATGCCTAGGAAATAATCAATTTGTAAGGACTTTTGGTTCCATAGCCATTCAGTATAGGCACAAAAAAGGCTAAAACTTCCAGTCGCAAGGGAAAATAAGGCAGCTTTCTCTAATTCCTTTGAACAGCTACAATGTAATTAACATCTAAAATTACATGATCAAGCCATTTTAAGTAAAAACAAAGAAAATAGCAGTAAAAAAGATACATTGTAAGGTGATGCTCTTCACACACCATGTAAAAACCTGTCTAACCTGTCAGACAAGTTAAGAACACTTTAGGAAAAACACCCACAAGGCTATAGGATGATCACTCACCAAGGTCCAAAGTGATTTGAGAGGTTGGAATAAGAAATATCACTCTGTTTGCATCTGGATTTTTGACAATTCCAGCCTTAAAAAAACAATGTCGACAAAGAGAAAAAAGTATTAAGAAATATTACACAGTTGGTTGATGTAAATTAACAGAATTTACTAAAAATTGAACCTTACTTATTGTGAAAATTACAAAACAAATGAACATATCTGTCTCATATTTCTATCACAACTACAATTTGTTATATTGATCAGCAAGTAGCATAACTCAGGACAATTGATCCTCATTCCAAAGGGGTTTTGTTTTGCTACTGGTGTGGAGGTACAAATCTTCCCTACTTTTGAGGGGGTTTAAGTTTAGTGTCCAGGATCAGACTCCTACAGCAGCGGTGTTGATTGAGATGTTGACTTTGTGAGACTTGCTTCTCTTTGATGTTTTCACCATTTTCACCACCACCAAACAACTGATATGTGCAAAAAATTTCACAACAATCAAAGATTCCAATTATTTAGGGTTCTATCTGTGCGTTTTGTAATTCATCATGTTGCTTACCCAATTTTTCTCCTGGAAAAACTTAACAAGTTTTCTAATTTTTCCATGGTCATCTTCAATTGGAACTAATTCACAATGCAAAAAGCTTGTCCCACCAGCTAAAGATGCTAAAAACACAACAACAAAAAAAACTAATTATATTTGGAACTATAAGAAGAAATCAATTTATTAAAATGTCAGAGCCTACATTCACTGGAAAATAAAAATAAAGAAAAAACAAGAAAACCCCAAAAAATTGAAACATCTTAAATACTGGAACACTACCCTGCTTTGTGTCTGTTTTCTTGTGAGTGAGCTTGTCATTGGTTGCTACTTACATGGGAGCATTACTCAATCCACCAGCTCACTTTCAAAGTGGCAGCCCCTGGTTATACCAGGCACAGAATATACATCACGTAATGCAGTTGTCAAATTTTTACAAACTTTCCTGTTATTATTTGGAAAGTCTTACATCTTTCTGATAAATGGAATGAAGAAGATGAGCAGGTGAAGGTTCCTCCTAGGGATGAGGACCAAAGTAAATGATCCTCTCTTCAAGGATAAATGAGTTTTCTATTTTTAAGACAAAAGCCATGTAAAATTTGGAGAAAAAAAATTTCCTTCAAAAATAGAAAAACATTACCTTTGCACACTCTAGACACAGAGGGTGGACCAGAGCGAAAAAGTGGGAAAGTCAAGAATGGTCTCAGCTGCTGAAAGGAGATTTTCTCCTTCATAACAATCTTCTTACCACTGAAAGCAAAAAATTTGCATCATGTAAACATGTGTTGATGACAACATTGACAACTTGATGAAAGATTGCTTTACAGTAAGAAAAACCTTCATAGATCAATAATAATCTGACCTAAATAAAGTAAATCTTGCTTAGTGAAAAATGTCAGAGGAAAATGGGAAGCTTTATGAAATATCTTACTGATTGGGTGCATATTAAATTTGACTGTTTTTTTCCAAAGATCAACAGCTGCAACATGACCAACAATGAAAAGGTCTCTCGCCAAAAATGGTTTACTTCACCAACACTCTATCATTGCTAAATTAACTTACATTTCAAAGGGAAGCTTGATTTTCTGTACAGAATGGCAAACAAGCTGTGCATCAGCCAACAATCTGTCCTTGTTTGTGATCTTCCCCGTCCAAACAACATGGCTACTTCTTCCCCTTCTCTTTTCTGGAATTCCTAACCATAATAAATTTACATCATTTAGTGTAACATGTCACTTGTGCATTACCATCTTAAAATCAAATCCTTCTTTTTAATTGTCAAATGGTTTACCAGGGTTCTGAACAGGATAAAAACTAGGTGTCTGCCCATCGCAATTATTCATAGTCATTTTTTTCAAAGTCGCCAACTGGAAAAGTTAAATCATAAAATGGTTGCCAGAAATAAAATTTGGGTGCAAAATGAAAAGAAAAAAAATCAATTATACACTGTTAAAATACTAAAAGGTGCCACCTTCTTTTGAGAAGCCTGGCCTACACATTTAAAAAGAATGAGGTGACATACAATATAATTTCCAAGTTTAACTTACTTGTTTCACGTCTTACAAAACCTTTGGCTGGCAGTGAAAACCCACTATTGTCCACACCTGGAAACTCCTCCTAACAAAAATGCATAAAATCAGAAATTGTATGATAAAGAAAAAAGGTGACAAACATTACATTTTGCTTTCACCTCACCTGCACAATGGATGATTCTTGATGAGGACCCAATGAATCACCCACCGAAATAGTGATAACAGCATAAGGAAGACAATGTCGCGGCCTTTTTACATGCAGGTCATCACCTTCCTCAGCAAACTCGTAGAAATAATACTGTTTAAAAAAAAAAAAAAAAAATTTCATAGACATATAAATTTCTCAAGGCATTAATAAAAAACATCAGTTAACAGCACAACTTAATCCATGCTTAATTTTCCAAGGAGAAGTCTGCAGTAAAAAAGATATTATAAAATTTCCTATTTGCAATAAATCCCCAGAAGCAGCAACCCTTTGAAAGTGATAAAACAGCCCTCTAATGGCCTGAAATTGTCATGTTATTACTTTTATTAAAGCTGCTGTAGTTCTTAATGTGATCAAACAAATCAAGTAGTACAGGGACCAAAAGTTGACTGAGATTGTGTATTTAGCGACTGAGTGGGAGGGCCATGTGGGAAAATATTTGGCTCTTGGTCAAGATGTACAGACCTCGCTACCATCTGCCCCACTTTAAATCATTCAATGAGCATTTTATCATAACACTACCACCCCCTCTTTTTTCCTTCATCTTTTTGCTCCTCATTTTGGCTTTTCGATGCCAAACAGCTTATTCTGCCCTACTCAAGCCACTGTACATGGCCCAAGGAAGGGAGTTATTATACAATGTTTTTCATTAAAAGCATAAACAAGGCTATACAGGCTATGTGATGAGTTTAGTTACAACACATAAACAAACCCTACCACACAAATGATGTCCTTCAAACCCACCTGTGAGTAATCAAATACTTGGTTAAGTGGGCTGTTTGCTTGAAGATTCTGAAGGGATTTTGAAACATGGCAGTCAAAGTTTGGTGTTGGCTCAAGCAGGTCACCAGCAGTTGCTGCATTCCGTTCTGTAACTTGTTTTACCTTGCCCTGTAAGGTAAAAGGAAAAAAGAAAAGATATTAATGCTCCAAAATATACACTTCCTACAGTTTCACAACCAAAGAATATAGCAGTGCTTTCAGTAAGTTTTGAAGTACTATTGACCAATCTTGTGGTTAAAGGAAATACATGATACCTTAAGAATTTAAGGTTGCAATGTACTGCAGAACACTTAACCCTTTAACTCCCAGAACAGGTTTGTAATTCTCCTTACTGTCAACCATAAAATTCTTATAATGTTGGTTCAGAGAATTTAGTATTGGATCAACTAATCATCCCCAAATTGATATTTTTCACTTATCTGGTTGACATTGTATTGATATTGTAAGGAGAAATTCTGTCTGAATCACTCATGGGAGTTTAAGGGTTAAAGGATTATTTTTAGTCAGCAATGAGTTCCTTTACACAATTTAGACTGCACACAAACCTTGATGACTTTGAAAACTATAAGGTATCCCAGAGAACCTTGAATAAGAGGTTTCCTGGAAATGACGTCAGCATGACGGCCAAGATACACACCTGAAGTTTTACATGTAAACACAAAGAAACTGCATGATCAGTTGTAAATATTAAGAATCATTAAGAATGATTAATATCAATTTCACCATAACATTGTCAGTGCCTTGTCTATTTAACAAATTGACAATTTTCCATTGTCAAGTATTTCTTCGAGGTTATTCATCTTTCAACTTTGCAAACTGAGAACTGGACTTTCTATTTCTACTTCTCTTCCTCTGCTTTTTTTCCCTCATGACAAGCTCTTCTACAAAAATTTCCAAGTCTACCAGACTTAAAACTCAGAAGTTTGTTATTCTCCATATCTCAGAAATTTGCCATTGTTTTCACAAGATAAATTTTTTATCTGACATGGCGAGGATTGTCGAGCATTACATCACACCATCTTTGTTGTCTATAATCTTATTTACAATAGTTCTTGACCAATGAGAGCACAAGAATTTCTACAGAAAACTGTTATTGTGTCAAAAAACACATACCCATCGATGGATCTCCCAAACATGATAATGATGTTGAACCAACCTCCAATCCATTTTCACATATTTTTCTTGCCTGATATAACAAAACCAAAATAGGTTAGCACAATACTGAAATGAAACAGTGTTTCCCTACCTCCCTTCACAATAATTTATTTTGCAGAAAGAATAAACTTTTTCACAGCAGTTCAAGCTTCAACCATAAATGTTGGATGCTGGACGTTTGTCAAGGATTACCATACCCTTTACATCCTAATTTTCTCCACACTATTCGCTTTACATTTCCTAAGTAGCTGTCAAGGAGAATTTCTTTAACAGTCAAGAAGTTCTTTAGTTGGTGATCATTTCCTTACTCTTGTGACCTTTATGCGTAATTCAAGGATGACAATGTACGATGAAATGAGAAACTAGTCACTCTTTAGGACTAGAGTAAATGCAAATGACCAAAATATTTGGCAAGGAAAGATTTTGGAATAACCCCATGCTAATCTAAAACAAATCCTTTGTCCCAGAGGTAAGCTACTGGTTCTGTCATTGCTTTCTTTTATCAAAGAATTGTAAACCTAAAGAAGATGAGGGCTAAAAAGAATTCTTGCCACTAGGCCTCAAAATTTGCCTTCGCATCTTTGTGCCAAACACAAAATCAAACAGCTGGTGCCCAGAATAAGACAAAACAGGCTTAGAGTTTGTTTCCCTCCATATCATAATGCTATGAGCTTGATAAATGTCAACTTATGAAATAAGTCATCAAATCTATTTCTGTGCAAAACCATTCCTAGAAATAACGAAACCAGATTTCTCACGTAATACGTAACGAGGCAATTATCGGAAGCAGCTGGGATGTGATGAAAAATTATTTGCTCCTTTAAGTATCAAACTAACCAAGGACACCAGTTTGGCTCATCTAAAATCTATTTCGCTTCTCTATTCAACTAGAGGCACAACTAAAGTTTATCAACAGCGATTACTACGAGAGGAATCGAAATTTTTCACAAAATTGTCAACTCAAGCATTTTCAATTCATCTAAAAATGGAAGTCTGAATAATTTTAACAACAATCGTTCAAATAAACATAGCAAGTTTCTTTCGAGGTCAGGGATTCATGAAATCGTTTTGGTTAAATTTTGTCTCCTTGTGAAAACATTAGACGTTTGTGGAACAAAAAAAAAAACATTTCACTTAAGTTATCCTGTACTTTCACTTGTAGCGAAGCTTGTGTAAGAAAACGAAACACTCGCTTAATTTTGCAAAAACCGCATCGCATGCCATAAAAAGTATAATTGAGCTTAGCTATTCAAACCTCTTCACGATCAACAGTGTAGAAGAACGCATGTTTGTCTTCAAGTTCTTTAGAATTTCGCCATTCGTTCCGCATAGACTGTTTTTTATCCTGGTACTGTTGATTAAAACAAAGCCCAAACAAGATTAGAAGATTGCTGTGGAACGTTGTTTAAATAAATCCATAGCTTACTTCGGACTTGGAATGATTAATGATCCAAACTCACTCACTGAATGAATGGAACGATTAATAATCCAAACTTACTCACCTCTCGGGACAGCTGGTCATTAAATACAAGCTCTAGCTTTTCAAATTTCAGGGTAGCGCCAACCACAGGATCTCGATATGATTGCGCGACATTGCGAAGTAACTCCTTCCCCTCTCTAGTATCAAAACTGGAATGCTGAAGAAGTTCTTTAAAAAAGAAATGCCAAAGTAAAACCAGATCAGTGTTTAAGGTCCGCAAATACACCCCGTTCTGAAGGGTTTTTACGCAAAACTAACAATTAGCATAAAGGCGAGCAAGAAATTTTAGCACGTTTAAAAGTCACACCACTGATCAAAAATGCTTTAGCTCAAAGATCATGATTAACTTACCATTTGCTTGCTTTTTCTTTCGTGGGATGACAAATCCACCCTTCTTTTGAAAAGAAGACCGTACCCGCTGCTTTCCTGTAGTATTTGTACCGCTATTTCCTGGCAAATTTAAACGTACAGCGAGCGGAATGTCATCTTCCGAAACTTCTGTAATCGACCCGTCCTCTGTTCGTTCAGAATCGTTGTCCAAATTCAACGCTTTCGGAGCAAGCATTTTCTTCAAATAATTGCAATAGAGTTTTCTTTTCCCTATGTATGCTCCTCATGGCTTTTAAACAGTGTTAATAACCTACATTTCGCAAAGAAATCAGCGCATTCCTGTCCGATCCTATGCTGAGTAGCGACCTCGTGAGCCTCACTTTACGTCTCTTACCAAGGTTTCTCAAAGAACTTCGGGACAAGCGCGGGAATGGTAGTTATCCTTACTCTCCGGGGGAAGGGTGAAGTAATGAATCTCTTCTTTTCTTTCGAATCACCCGAGCATGTAAAAATTTGTGCTTGAATATACATTTTTATAATCTAACCTCATAACAAATAAGTAAATAATTTCTAACGACGTTTTCTTCTTTATTTCAATAACTTTACCCTTTGAAGAGCAAAACTCTCACCACTACCCTAGGGGAACAAATGTAATGCTGCTAACGCAGCCAGGCCTTGTTGATAGTAAAAACATATCGCTTCGCCTTTTCATCACAATTTACCATCATCTTTGCATGATCACCGAGCACCAATCACGGAGCACAATATCTACTGGAAATCACACGAGAAGTAAGTGGTTACAAGCCCTCTTCTAAGATCTAGTTTCCTCGTACTTTTGTTGTTCCTATACTTGCTTCGAGGGGGTTTTTCGAGAAATATGGTGACCACTTCTTTTTTTTTGCAAAAAAATGCAGTTCAGGTCGTATCATTGGTACATTGTTTTACATCTATTTTCAGTATCAATTGCGTTCTCCAATAGTGACATAGTCATTATAGTAGTTCTACCCGTGTCTCCGGCATTTCTCCTCTATTTCACGAACTTAAGACCTTTCGAGTCATTTTGCATGTTGACGAAGGCAAAGCCCGAATCAGCTCGCACGAAAGCGGAAATCCAGTTGTTTAAGTATAAATCTTTTACTCGTTCAAACTTTTATTACAAGACAGGCTGATGTTTTAATGTTATTTTGTGCATACTCACTGTACTATGCTTTGGACAAGATCAGCTTATGAGTTCGAGATCTCCCTTGCGTGCAGTGGATGAGAGCGAAGCCAGAATGAGCTATCGCGCAAGTAAATCGAAAGCGAATAATCTAATTGTTTCAGTATGGAGCCACTGGTCGTCCAAATCTTGACAATATGACAGCCTCTGTAATTATTTTTTTTTTTTGTTCACAGCCACACATTGTGAGGCTACTCAAAACCTTTTTAACAAAGGGATTCCGTGCTTCCGTTCGTCTGTACAGTAGTGTACTTGATCATAAATGACGTCACGAACTGTCACACACAGCTGCGCCTTCTGTGCCACTTTTTCGTTCTTACCATATTTTGACGTCATCTGTGATCAATACTATACAGATGCATAGAAACACGGAAACCATATAGTGAGTGACATCGCAGTGTGTGGTTGTAAACAGTGTGGTGTTCAGTGCAGCCTTTCGTTGCTCTACTTTCTGTCCGTATTTTTCCTTTTTGCAGAGATAGATTAGCATAATGAGGAATAACTGTTGATGTAGATAATCTCACAGAAATCTAAATAATCAGTATTAATTCGAAAAGAGCATGCTTGTTGCAAGTGATAATTGTAATAGTTGTTATGTCTCATAGGAGCAAGTCTTAAAACATGGACAAAAGTGAATGTAACCTTTCCACCCCTTCACGAAGCAGCTTTAAATGGATATATCCCATGCTTGGAAATACTGATTGAAAACAGTGCAAATCTGGAGAAAAATGAAAACCAGTTTGGCACTGCTCTGCATGTTGCCTGTCTGCAGGGTCATGTTGGATGTGTGAAAGTTTTGCTTCAGGCTGGGGCAAACCCTAATTCCATCAGAAGGCATCAAGTCCCCTTGCATGCCACTGCAATGAACAGAGACGAGATCTGTACAGCTCTAATTCTTGAGTTCAGAGCTAATGCTTATCTAAGAGACCTAGAGAGCAAGAAACCTGTTAACTTAACAACTAATGAGGCATGCAAAGAGATGCTTTTTGAAGCTGGTAAGGATTTAAAACTAATTTTAACCCTTTATTCCCATGAGTAACCAGGACAGAAGTTCTTCTTACAATATTTATACAATATCAAAGAGGAAAATTGATGATAATGAAGAAAAATATCAATAAGAAGGTAATTAGTCTACCCAATACCAGATTCTCCAAACTAGTAGCATAAGAATTGTATGGCAGACAGTGAGGAGGATTGCTAATGAGATCTTGCTCGTGAAAGGGTTTAATAGTTGATACTTGTATTTATAAACTAAGTGAACTGTAATTAAAAGAATCAATGCAGATTAAAGGAAATGTTCCTTTAGTTTAAGAAATAAATTCAAAAGAGCTGTGTTGAATCACACAAAAACACATAATTTTGTTATACAACAGGACCAAATGAATGGGCGCATCCTACTGTGATATTTTTCCATATGTTTAAGAACTCTATTTTAATTTTGTTCCCAAAAAATCCCCCCCCCCCTCCGACTTCTTCAAAGCTGCTGTTGTCTCATCAGGCAACAGCTGTCATGCCCACCCAAAGACAAGATCCCTGTCCTACCCCTCCCTAGAAGCCTCAAGGATTACCTGAATCACTATAACTATTGCATAGACCACATCTGTATACAGCAAGAATGTCTTAATTTGCCTTGCACAATACCAGTTATAAATTTAAAAAGCACTTGCGGATAGCTCATTTTCTGAGTTTTAGAAGGCAGTTAAGGGTCAGTGAAAGGATTACCTATTAAGTAAACCACTCTGACCATTGCATGGTTTACAGCAGTGATGTCTTTAGTTGCCTTGCACAGTGCTGCTCAAGAGTTGAAAAGGTGTTTTTTGGTAGCTTATTTTCCAAGTTCTAAGAGGCAAGGATCAGTGAAAGGATCATAAAAACCTGAATCACTATAACTATTCCATGGACCACTTCATTATAAAGCAGTGATGTCTGAATTTGTCATGAGCAATGCCACTCATTAGTTAAAAAGGCGTAGCTTGTTTTTTAAGTTTTAGGAGGCAAGGATCAGGGAAAGGATTACTTAAACCACTATAACTATTGCACAGACCACCACTTTATACAGTAGTTATGTCTGAACTGCCTCAAGCAATGCATCCCATAGGTTTAAAAGCCTTTTGATAGCTTGTCCTCTAATTTTTTTGGAAGGCAAGGATCAGTTAAACTTTGTTAAAAAGCATTGGAGTTGTTTCGTTAAATTAAAATTTATTGGGTGGGAAACAAAAAAGAGGGAGATTATTTGCCAAAAAAATAGTTTTAATCAAGTCTATGGGAAGACATATGCCATTAAAGACATTAAATTTTAAGGGCATTCAATACTTAAGCAACTAAATGTGAAAGTGATCTCGAACAAGGTTGCAATGAAGAAACAGCCCTGAAAATATCCTGGAATCATAAATAAAATGCTAGGAAATGGAAAATATACAGAAGTAATCCTAAGATGAGAAGGAACGGAATTAATTAAGATTAATTTGTTGTGAGACAGGCATGTATGAAAATTGATATAACCAGTCATAGGAAGCCACTGGAGGATTTACAATACATAATATTTTCCCTGCCCATTTCTTATCATCCTTTTTCAATTTAACCCCTTACACCCAAACATCAGTATGTATATCCTCCATAATGTTCTCTATACATTTCCTGAGGTGTTGACTAAAAGAATTTGCTTAACAATAAAGATAATTTCCTTCATTCTTGTGACCGTTGTGCGTGATTTAGGGGTGAGATATTGTGAAGAGACATTAGATGCTAGTCACCCCCAGATATCAAAGGATTTAAAGTATTTTTTGCTAGTATAACTGGAGAAAATTCACTTCAATGAATTTTAAATTTATACTAGCTTCATCAATGATAGAATAGTTTACTACCTGAACATTTGCTATTTTTCCAATACTTTGCTAATGCTATGTGTATCTTATTACAAGCATTAAAATACATGTTGTAGCTTACTAATTTTGTAAATTATATAATTTTTGTATCAGTTTTAAGCAAATTAGTAAGTGCAACTATGCTGTTAAAACGTAGAGGTGACTGTGTGTAGCTTTTATTTAATTGGGTACTTAGTGTAAATTCGATGGTTCAATAAAGCAAGTTTAACTGATGTGGACAACCGTTTTTTTATTTTTTTTTATTTTCATGTTAAGGCCTTTTCGTACACACAAGGGTTTCTCCTTGGCTATTTTGTGCGCTTTTTTGTGCGCTCTATGTAATATACATATTTTATTTGTCGTTGTTAACTATATCAAAGCAGAAAGTGCCTTGCACAGCGGGACTACGTGAAAGCTATACAACGAGCAGTTCCTCCTTTCTGGTGAAGTCCGATGCGGGTGGCTATCGTTTTGGGGGCTGAATCTTTTTTCTCGCGCACCGGACTTCGTCGAAAAAGAGGAACTACCCGTAATCCACGTGAATGTTACACGATTACCTCAACTGTTGAGACGTCACAACATGTACCGTGTTTCAAATCTTTTAAACGCACGTAAACATCGGCGAAGGATGCCTGAAGTGCACGTAAGTGTACAAGAGTCGCCGAGGAAGAATGAACGTGGAAAGACTCAACGGAGGCGAGAGTTAGTCTCTTAGTTTGCAACTTTCGTTATGATTTAATTTCAAAGGCCATAGAAGGTGGATTTACCGTGTCGCGTTAGTTTTTCGTACGTACAACGTACGCACGTAAACGCCTTGGAAAAAACTTGAAATGGAAATATGACAACGTCTTGTCAACGGTTGCGTTTATGCACGTAAACGTTCAGTTCAAAGTACGTATTTTTTTTTTTTGTTTCAGGACAATGGAAATCTAGCTTAAAGACGGCAAGAGTAGGGAATTGCGACAACTTTCACTATCGCTAAACCTGGGAGAAGGAGAACCTTTTTCTATGCCTGTGCCGGCACGAAATACATGAAGAGGTATTGATATAAGAACATCTGAACAGAAATTGCTGGTTAAGAAACGCTGCGAGATAGACATACATATAACTTGACTGAAAGGGTGGATATTACATTCTTTTAAATTTCAGAAGTACATTTTAAAAACAATTTGATGGTAGTAAGTTCATTTAAAAACAAAAAAATGTCGCATAAGGTTTCTCGAATTTCAAGTGCTACCTTTACAAAATTTAATACAGTTACATAAGGTCGCAAAATATGAAAAGAAAACTAATACTGTCCTCTCTGCGAACACGTAAAAAGGGGTCACCGCAGGAAAATGCCTGGTGACTCGTATTTTTCAATTCTTACACCAAATTTAATCAAGAACAAGAATTTGACAAATTCTGGTTCTAGAGAAGAAGGAAATTGGCCGAAGCTATTTATAAGACGCAGAATTTCTCATCCCAAAGATTTTATTTAAACGTGAACTGAAACAAAACACAATACGAGACGAACAACTGTAAACGACGTGTCAAAAACCTCACAGAAAAACTTTTTTACAGCACTTATATATACACAAAATTTTCGTATGTACTATGTAAGAAAGTCGTATGGCTTTGAAACCAAATTTTCATTAAAGTTTATGGCTCATTATGTGGATAAACTAAATTTTTCCTAAATCACATACCTACGATTATCACTTAAATTTCCAAAGCATTACTTATCAATTTGATCACTAACATTACAAATGCAATATATTATTGCGTGTTATCATAAAATATTTTTCTTTTTAGAATATATTCGCCAGATATTTTGTAGGATATTACTGCTTGAAACGACAAGGAAAATCGGTCGCCAAGCGCTAATATGCATCAATTTTTTTTTACCAAAGAGATTTACTCCACGTTATCAAGGTGCAATGGTTGGCTAGAAGATATGCGTGCATTCTGACTTGACCAATCAGAATAAAGCGCTGTTTCCAGAGCCAATCAGGTGCTGTGCAAGCTAAGACTCACCGATTACCCGTGATTTTTTCCGCGCTTAGACCCATCGCTGTTTTTCATAGAAAAGGCGACGATCGGCTCTATTGATAGTTGAGAGGAAATTGCTCTAGTTTTTTTAGTATAAATTACAAGACATAAACAATATTATGGTACAGCGCGCTATAAAGTAGAGGAAATATTTTGTTACCGAAACCTGTCGGTGCGTCTGAAGAATCAAGACTATTCTACCCGCGAAAGCAACGACTGTTGTGTTTGTTCGTTGTTGTTGTTTTTTTTTTTCACAATCCGCTTTTCTTCGCAAAAATTGAACAAGAAAAAAAGCAGGCAACTTTAGCATGGTAAATCTCATAATTTAAATCACTCCAAAATGGAGAAAATTCGACCCATCTCACTTCCTTGTGAAACTTAATAGGAAAATTAATAAACCTCTTTGATGTTGTAAATGTCCTAACTAGGATTCAGTTCTGTCAACGCATCTCAGACCGAAATTATAATGGCATCAAACGACGATGGAACCAGCGCTGGTGATAATTTGGACACTCATTGCCCCCACATAAACAATTTCCAACTGCTGTACAATCCTTGTGTAATATCCACGGTATTCATTCTTAACTAGCCGACCTCAGCGCGTACGGACTGTCCAGAATTTGAGGTGTTGCGTGACGTGAAACCCTGCGTAACATCAGAGATAAGTCTTGTAGTTCTCCGGACAGGGTATCACGCTTCGAATAGCGTTCAACCATTGTTTTTTCTCCTGTTCTGTGGGAGCTTGTAACGTGTGTGATTGACCATTTTCTGCATCTGTACTTGATACTCGGAAAACGTGTTTGGCTGTTGAAAAAAAATTCAACCATTAATGGTGTGCGGGAAAAGTTTGTGAAAAGGGCGCTAAGCAGATTTTTATGGCCCATGGAAGATGGCTTTCATAGAACAGTTGATTGCGAAATTATTTATTTAGAGATACCAAAACAGAGCCTCTTTCCATCTAAACAACATGACAGTGACGGAAGAACTTTAGCTGCGACAAACGCGAAGTCCTAATCACTTGAAGGTTAGTGAACATATTTAGAGTGGCTCCTATCGCATTTTCTCGTTAGAATTTGTACTTTCATTGCAAAACAAAGAAAATGCTACCTCTTACCTGTACCAAGTCTTGAGATCGCGGTCTTGAAGGAACCACCCATTCTGACGTCACCGTCTGAGAGATCTTCGACCAACAGATTCTCGACTGGGATTGGCTGACAAAAGCATTGGGAAAAAGTCAATACCTGAGGTGTACTGGAATGATTTGTTCTCTCTCACGCTCAGAATTGGCCCAAATACTACAGTCTGCTTATTTAAAAAAAGTTTAGCCATTGTGTAACAACACCCCTTCCTAAGCAATCCCTGTTAAACAATCCCCAATCTAGCTGAACCTTTAATCTGTGAGACCTTTGTAAACTACAGTTTTTACGAAGTCCCATTTTACAGCTGCGAAACCTTATGTGGTAGGAACTTCACAAAATAAAGAAAAAGAAAGAATTCGCCATTTCCATTTCCAATAAGAGGGAATCTCAGACCCACAACAACAAACTAACCTGTGTGAATACTTGATAGCTGGCCCGGTCCTGTCTTGTAGCCGGACGAGTGAGCAGAAAGACTGTCTCCGACAAAAACACATGTAGCTTCTAAATGGAAAGAAGTACACACGAATGAATAAAGGGATAAGTTTCTAGAGAAACTCTGACGTTGCGTCGATCGGGGGTTTTAATCAAAACACCTGTTCTTCTTACCGTTCCATGTTTATTTCGTAGTGTGCCGTTACATAAAAGCTTCTTGGACTTGAATACATGAGGGCACATCTAAAGCAAACAATAACAACAATAATTTACCAGAAAAAATTATACATACTAGATAATGGCCAAGGAATTATTTCGACGACCCATACCTCTTAAGGGGATTAGACCGTGAAAAGCGCTCCTTAGTTCAAAAATCAGTGTAGCGCACCAACATATGTTTTCCCGAATGTTTCGGGTACCTAGCACTGGATGTATGCCTTTCCGCGTTCTGCAATTCTTGCATGTTTCCCGCGCTTGGCACTGGTTACAGACTTAAACTCTCTTAGCAACCTTTTCTTGCAACATGCGCTTGCGCGCTTCTAATATTATACTTTGCGCTTGGTGCTGATTACGTGCTTTCTCGCGCTTACCGCTAGGTACCAGCTTTCGTCCTTGATGCTAGTTACATAGTTACATGATTTCCCGCTTTTTCCGCTGACCATATTTCCCGCGCCTTTTAATAATTAAAGATTTCCCAGATATTAGAGTTTCCGAAAAACGCAACTGAACATTACCTGTCTGTCATCCAAGAAAACTATTCTACTAAGTACATCTTGACACTGCAACACAAAGACATCCTGGTTAAAAAACTGAAGACAGACTGGCAGAAAAAACTTACGTACACGGACTGAAAGGACGATGAAAAAAAATAATAAAACGGCCGTGAACCAAACTACCTTTGCTTCGCCTGTTTTTCTGTCCACTTCTTCTATAATGTCTTGTAAACGGCAAATCTGCAACAGACAAAAGCTTAACTTAAGCTCCTTCATTGATCTTCTTATATCACATATTTCCTAAAATCAAGGTTTCTACAGATTCGTTCCAATCCTAGTTTTACTGCACGAACATACTCACGAACAAACTGGACGCTTTTAAACCTTGGTTGAGGAGCTTTACCTTCCCCTCCCCGGGTAAATTCCCCAATCTAAACAATACTCACAGCTCGTTCTAGTTTTCGCCAGTCGGAGTGCTCTTTCGGCGTCTGAAATATGAGCAACAGGATATAAGCAGTCCATTACAATAAAAATCCTTAGCTCTTATTCACAATTTAACCGAAATAAAAATATCTTAAGTGGCTTCACTCTCGCCAACCCAAATCCGGTGCCACCGTTCGGATCTCAGACATCTTTCTGAGTCACAAATTTTCGCTACAAAATTATCTCCTACTCTACGTGTCTGCTACCAAAGCGGGGACGTGTTATGCTGACAGGCCGGAAGTTACAGCCCATTGAGGGATAACATTAGGAACTAATGAAGACAGCAATAAAACATGAGCCCCAAACCACAGGGAGGGAGGGAGGGAGGTCCCCTGACGGTTCAAATCCCAAGGGAAAGCTACTGGAAAGAAATTCCGCCCACTTAATGAAAGTGTTACTCACGTATTTCTGTATGCTGCGCAGCATCAGCGGGTATTTTACCAGGCGACTCCTGGGCGAATCTGCCGAGGAAGATAAACAACTAGTTAATGATACAATCTTAAGCGCGTTTATCGCCCAGATTACTCGATAATTGGTTTTCAATTGACTGCACGAGAGCGTTTAAGATTTCGAGATATTCTCAACGTTTCAAAACCACGCACACGTGATGCAGTTATCACACATCAACATTTTTTGGAGAACAAAGTAAAGGCGATGAAAGTATAAAAAATGATCTTGGGGGTAACTTTTCTGGACTTAAAATTCCTGCATTTTTTTTCTTTTTTTTTTCACAATGACAGTCCTGTTCACCTTTCTATCTACTTAATTTCGTAAAGAATAAAAGAAGTTTAAAAAACCACTTTAACTCGTTGCCCTAAGAAAGTTTATTCAACACCACACAGTGTTTACTTATTTGTCCTTTTTTAAAAACTTCTTGGCTACTGATTGCATCCACGTTTATGAGACCGCATTAGAAGTTTATTCTAGAGTATTCTTTTTGTCGTTTTACTTTTTTCCTTGTCCTTATTGCGTGAGAAACTGATATTAACCCTTCCCTTGCTAAACCAAGAGATAAGCGAAGAGGAAATCGTATTCGGCGCCAACAAAAATAACAAAAACACGCTTTGTGTGCGGTCAGTCAAATACGCGCGCTTGGTTAAGATTCAGTCAAATTCTCAATCCACACAACGAAACAATTTACCATTCTGATTTCTAAACATTTATGTGGATGCCACCTCGGATAATTTATCAGTATCTATAGACAGCTTTTCCTAATTAATAAGATTTTTAACGGTCTGCCTGCGTCAAAACTGTTGCAAGCGGAATGAAGAAATGGAAAGTTGGCCTTCTTAAAGATTGTTGTCAGCTCTTTGTACTGGAATAAGTTACTTATCGGGAAACACCTCAGTGGCGCTTTCTTTCATCTCTGACTTAACAAACTTAAGCTACAAAAAAAACTTAAAACACCCTGAGAACACAATGCTACTTCTGTTAAAACAATGGTTATATTAACAAGACTTGAGCTGAAATGAAAGGTACTTAAACACCGGAAATTCCTTCCAAGTAATTGGAAAAGAAGCTTATGTGATGCGATGCGATGTAACCTACCTAAAAAGCTCCAAAGATCTAATTTCCGACTGAATGGCGAGTCACGGCATCTCTGTAAGAATTAAAAGAGAGTAGGTGGATTTGTGGTTACAAAATATAAAACACACACGCGTGTGTATTCGTAAGTGTCATTTCCGCTGGATCATTTACGAGCGAGCGTTTAAATATAGCAGTCGTTTGTTGCGGCCAGAAAAAATATTTAAACTGGGAAGGACACCCCAAAATATTAGTTTTAAATGGAGAAACGCCAAATTGGAAAGGAAGCACACAAAAAAGAAGGAGGAAGGTAAAGAATGAAAGGTTACAATGGACTGCAAGAAAAACAGCACAAACATTTGTGAAACTCATTTCAGAGTGGACCGCGAGAGATGGAGTGGTTGAGAGTGCCACAAGTTTGTTTTTCTGTTTCTTTTTTTTTCTTTAGGTCTGCACTTCTATGATCAAACACAATACCCTGAGAGAAGAAAGGATTGGTCGATGTTTTTCTTTGGTATATTTTTAGTTTCGTTCTATTTCTGGTTTTGTAGCACCATTTTACACGGCGGTTTTTGTTATCCGGAAATGTTTGCACAGAAATAGTGATCTGCCCTTTGGGAGAGTCCAGAAAGCTCACGAGCCAGTACAACGCAGAACACAGATACGAAAACAAGAGAGTTGACCACTTTAAGTAAGGTGTTCGCAGAAAACCAATCACTTTTGCAGAAATAAAGGGAAAAACAAAACACACGCAATAGAAGAAAAAAATACAGAAAACTTCTTCAAAAGCACTCTGAGAAAAAGAATACAACGATAAAATTAAACAAAATTCGAAATTTGAAAGACCCCCAAAATATTCCAAAGGAAAATCTTAAATTGACGAAGTTAAGCTAATGAAACAAATTAGCAACATTTTTGTAAATCTCCGGGAGTCCATAGGAAAACCCTTTAAAGCGCACAATTTTGAACCGTGTTCATTGACTGTCGAACACTCACAGGAGATTGAAATGTGACTTCTTCCCCACAATAGTTATAAATCGTTCAAAAAAAACGTGATGAGAATTGTGTTCTATCGATAACCAGCAAATATATTCAAGTTGGTGAGGAGAGTTATTCGGATCAGGAGAGTTAGTGTGTTAAATCACCCGCCCATCTTCCGCTCATAATGTCATAACTTCGCTCCGAGAAAAAAGGAAAACCATAACCAAAGATAAGAGCAGAAACAAAACACGGGTAGGTGAAAAAACTGTAATGACGCGCAAACCGCGAATCTAATAATCAGCACTCGTTCTTTTTCCGTTGCACCAGTTCCGTTGATTAAGGGCGTTTATCGGGAAAAGCTACGCAAACCACGCTTTCCGGGAGGTTTTTCGCTGAACCTAAAGTAATAGCACAGTTGACCTAGGAGACGGTACTTGCAAGGTGTGGTTGACGGAAGGAATTCCTTGCCCTTCTACGCAGATGTTATAAAAAGAGAGTAAAACGACGAAAAAAGCCAGCCCCATCCCACTCACCCCGCAAGGAATCTATCCCCAGGCCTTAAGATTTTGTGGTCCATTGCTTTACCACAGAGTTAGAGGGAACGTATTAGTTATATAGAGAATTGATAGCAAGGATCATAAAGTTATTACAACCTACGTCAGTAGGTTCATTTCTAAGAAACGTCCTGTCTACAGCCAGGAATCGCGATTTACCTGCAAAAAATCGGCGACGCTTCCACCTTGACGAAGTTTTTCGTCGAGAATGGTTTTTGCTTCGAATTGGTTTGCACAATATCGTGCGTAACATCTTAAACCTGGAAACTAAAGTAAAAAGGAAACTCATTGCCAATACTTCGTTGAGTTAACAGCCAATCAGAACAAAAGAAAATGTCACGAGGAGCCAATGAGATCTCAAAATGAAACGATACAAAACCACCAGAAGCGCGGGAAAACGCGGGTGACCAAGACGCAATTGGTCTTAGACTTAAATCTGATTGGTGGGGAAAAAAGAAGCGCGTTTTCTGGAGCGTAGTAAATATTTATATGGGCGACTGCCTTGAGCAAAAACACATCACCACAGAATTCCTCCAAATGAAATTTGGTGAATGTTTTTCACCAGATTGAAAACAGCGTTGTTCTGTGTTCTAAACAAGTCTAATAGTAGAAATATGCCATAAACACAATCATAAAACAATTCCACACACACATACCCAGTTTAACATGATGTCTCCTATACTGTCCGTTGTACCATCGCTTGATCTTGCATTTTTTAACTTCGCGTGAAGATCTAAAGCAAGAAAATACGACAAAGTTTACGTCTCAAACTATTAATTTTCAAGAGTATTTTACGTAGCCTTTTCAATCAAATACTTTCTTCTTGAAATAGCAACACATTATCGAGCAGAAAAATGATGGGAAGAAACAAAATTCAACCTCAGGGGTTTTGTTTGAGTTAATACCAAATTCTCAGAGCTAACAGTATAGGATCCGTATGGCAAACAGTAGGGAGAATTGATAGCAAGGATCATAAAAGCACCCAAGTAAAACACTCCTCTTGAACCCCTTAACTCCTAAGAGTGTTCAGCAACTAATTTCTCCTTACAATATCACCCCTGAATAAGGGAAATGATCACCAACTCAAGAAGTTCTTGAATGTTACACAAATTCTCCTAAAGAGCACCTTAGGAAATGTGCAGAGAACAGTCGGGTGAATGTGTTTGCTGATATTAGGGTGTAAAGGGTTATGGAGTCCATACCTTGATGGAGAGCTAATAAAACTTCTAAACAGCCAAAGATCTTCATAAATTCATATTCATTCATTAGCTTTAGTTTGTACATTGGTGCATAATAAACCTGTAAGAAAAAAATAAACTTACAGTTAGCAGGTAGAAAACGAAAACTGTCATACAAATGAAGTAAACCATAAATACATCAATAGATTCCTTGTGAGAGAAAGACTGGGTACTTCACTTTGGCAATTCCAACTTTTGGGCAAAACCAGGAGAGAATTTAAAAAACCCACAGACAGAAAAATATCAAAATGCTGACAACACGAAGATGTGCCCACAGAAAAATGCGGACAACCTTTTATATAGTGTTGTAGTGTAACAGATTCCTAAAATTTATTTTGTAAAAAGACGGCCACCTTCTTTTCATTTTACAGACACTAGGTCATGTATCATATAAATTGTGAAGAGGCTGACCTCTAGGAGGCTATACTCTGGGCCAAGCAATCCAAGTTAGAGGACTGTTTGTTCTCACTGATTGTTTTTTTTAAGGCTGCACATTCTAGAAAGTCTCTGTTATCACCCAGAACTACACAGGGAATATTCATGGCCAATTAAAAAAAAAGCACTCTAAGAAATAAGACAGGGTAGTTAATTAATGCTATCATGAGCCAATATTAGTTTCCCTAAGCACGTTAAAAAACTGATTGTCATTTAATGTCATGGCAACAAGGATAAAATCTAGTTTGATACAATGTTTAGGATTATAACCTGCTCACAATGATTAAGTAAAAAATAAAATGGATAGTAATGCAAAACAGGAGCTTAATATACATATACATGAAATATGGTGGATAACAAATTGCAACAACAGTTAGCAACTCTTCAAAAAAATATAAAAATCTTCTTCTTTCAAGTGATAGTCACTTTCAAAGGGAAGTCACTCAAGGAGATTCAACAATAGCACATGAATAGGCTTTAATAAGCAGTGTGGCCCCTAATCAGTTCTTCTCTCAAAGCTTTGCTGATCGTACTACAGTGCTTATAAGAGCCTGTTCACCCCATGAGTGACCAAGACAGAATTTCCTCCTACAGTATCAAAACAATATCAAGCAAACAAGTGATGAGAATAAAGACAAATGTCAATCAAGGGGATACCTAGTTGATCCAATATCAAATTCTTCAAATTAACTTCATAAGAATTGAAAGCAGGTAGTAAGGAGAATTACCACTAAGATCGGAGAGTGTAAGGGTTCACAGACTAGTTGAGCAGCAGAGTTTAAACTGAGGAAAGACAGCCACTTCACATCAAACAAGATAAGAATTCCAAGATACACAATTTAAATCTCTAATAATATCTTGAGATATCTCTTACCTCCTTTATCATTTTCAAATCAGCCACAACATTTTCTTCTCCTGTGCAAACCTCATAAATAGCCTGTCATCAGAAAAAATTCACTTCTTGAAATTTCAAACCAGGATAATGACTTCCTCAAAATGAAATCTGGGCCATGAAAATTTTCAAACAATCAAGTAAAGAAAAACTCTTTTCTTGCAGCTCAACATTTTGATGTCAGTTTGGTAATACCATTTTTGAGAGCATGATGACTTTAATAAATTAAATTCTGGTCTAGCATGAGTATAAAAAGCATCTCTTAGATGGTGTCATGAAAACACAAAACCTTATGTTTTCAGTTTTTCAGTTTGGCCTTAAAAATTTGCATCCCAGTGCTTGATCAGAAAGGAAACTTTTAGCAAGATCTTTTGAAAAAATAATGTTGTTACTCATTTTGTCATGAGCCACAGAGAAAGAAAATATTTGAGTACACAGCAAGAATTGGACCCCCGGGCTTCCAATTTTGCTGCACAATTCTCTACCACTGAGCTATGGAAAACATACATTTGTACATTTTGTACAGCTTACATGAAAATTTCAGAAGACAGAAATTGGCTAACTGCTTGTCTGAAACTTGCTGAACTCACCTCTTGCCGTTTTATTTCAGTCTGTGAAAGAGTAGTACTAATTCCATTGCTAGAAACTGTCTCACTCCAAGACTAATATAGGAAGACAACAACAAATCAAGAAATCTTAAACCTCTAAACTCTAAAACTGAGAAATTTATCAAATAAAGCACACCTTAAAAAACTTAGTTTAAGAAAACAAAATTTCTTTCAATGTTCGGTTTGGCTGATTATAAAAAATATTCCTTTAGGTTTTTCTCACTGAAAATGTAAATAGCTATTTGTTCATATTCAACTAAATGATAAGTACTCTATTTGTCAATGTACACCTCTTCACTTTTATTATGGCGAGTGTTCATCACAGCATGAATGGACAGTTCGGCTTAGAGTTCACCACTGCCACTTACAAATCCTTAAGTTTGTTTCCCTGAAGTTCAAAGTTTAACACCAAAAGCTCTCTTAAAAAGCCCTCTAAATCAAATTTCCTGCGAGCTTGTTGGATTCTTTTAAATCTTGTTATCTGCTATGTTTACTTTGCAAAATTAGCTTGTGGTTATTCTAATTGGAGTGTCCTATATAAAACAGAAGGAGTGAAAAAATACTCTCGCTTCTTTTAAAATTTTTAACATTTTCATTAACATCCATGAGAATAGGAAATAGGATGAACAAGGCAAAAGGTAACTTGAAAAATTGCGTTATTTCAAAGAAGCAATAGTCAGGCAAAAATAGTAACTTAATAATTTTGGCATTAAATCTTTTTAATCAGTATGTCTAATCAGTCAAATGCAGAAAATAATGCATTGAACAATGTGGCCGTTAACATTGTTTCTAACTAAAGCTACCTACAGCATTTATAAATGCAGTTAACACGATTATCTGCATTGGATCAGAGAGAGAGTAAATTGAATTTTCGTGTCAAAGTGTGGGCTTTCAACGCGAAAAAACAAATTGGTAGGCTTTAAAGGTCAAAGAATTTCTCATTGACAATTCATATTATGATGACCTTGTGAGAAAGTAACAATTAAGGCATTGTAATGTGCATGAGCCATTGTAGAAGAAATTTTCACTGCTTCAAGTGCAGAATGAGTTATTTCAAATCTCTGTAAGGAAACATGATACTTAAATGATAGCATTAAATTTACAGTCAGGGTCCCAAAAATACTCTAGTACTGTTGCATGACATCGGCTTTCTAAATGAAATTATCAAGATGTTTTTAATCCCTTAGGAATTAAAGCACACTGTTATAAATAAAAGAATTATTTACTCCTCTTTTATGAGCCCAATCTAGTTAAATTCTGTCTTTTATCCTTGGAATATGGAAAATTTGCAAATCTACATTTTCCTTTTGGCCTTGTTAACATACAATTTAACAAATGCCCAGGAATGAAAGAAGGTGATGATTCAGGGTGAATAATTGAGATATACGAAACTACACATGACATGTTACAACATGCAGATAAATTGAATGACAAAGACCATACCTTGCTTGGCCGATGCTTTGTTGGAGTAGGGAGAAGCCTATACCTTTTGGCAAAGTCAGAATCTTTGACTGTTAGACTGGATCGTAAACTTACTGATCGCTGAAAAGCAAAAAAACCTCTGGGTATTAAAATCTTGAAGCAGTTAACAACAGGAGAGGCTGATAACCCTGTTAATTAACTAATGAGAGACAAAGACCTGACATCTTCATGAAAGTGTACGATTCTAAAAGCAGACACTGATATCAGAAAACATTGTAATTCAATTCCCTAAGAAAGAAGCATAAGTTTATGCTATTTTTGCTGAACCAGTACATTAGATTTCTTGAAGTTAAAAGCATCAGTTAAGTCTCTCCAGAGAAAACAGTTACCTTTCTTCAAAGAAGCAAATTATATTTCACAAAATTTTAAAATTTATAGTTGATTGATGGCAATTGAGCCAAAAAGGTTTAACATGTTTGGTTTAGATTAGAACCAGTGTCATAAACATAAATATAAATAAATGCCTTTACTGACAGAAAAATTAAATAACAGCACTATCACACATTAAATTTATTTTTTGAATTTCATTTGGCATGTGAACAAACCTGTACTAAGATTCCTTTCTTGGCTACATCAGGTGATGCATCAGCTGACACAGTCATACTGGAAACAGGGCAAATCTTCTTTGTTGTAGGTTCCTGTGAGAGAGACAGTAAATGCTATTGATCAGTACATTGTTTTTGTTCCAAAAATAAATGATACAATAGACATTTGATGAAAATGTAAAATATACTACTCGTAAAATCTTTAGACACCTGGTGAATCACAGCTCTGGTGGGTGAAGGAGCCGGCTCAAAGAACTGAGCGGCAGTGGAAATACTGTGGCGGCGAAGAAGCGGTTTGATCATGCTCTAAGTTGAGATGGTTTCTCCTTGAGAATTCAGGCAGAGGCAAAATTTTAAACAGACCAGATGTCAGTTGCGTTGAACTCAAATAAAAACCACACTCAATAACAACTGTCGCCTGAAGTGTGACATTCAAGGTATTGAAAAATCCACTCTTTAGAAAGGCAAATGTTTGTACGTGTATATCATACTTGCTTGGATTAGATCCAAATCATAAATGATGCTTGGGCCATTTCACGTTGATCTCATTTGTGTGAATGAAATATGATCACAGGAATTCCACACAGACAAAGGCCTCATTTCAGTGTTAAATTTAGATCCGGCAGACATTAATGAAACATGATACAGCAAGCTAAGTAGAACAAATAGCTGAGACACCTTTGAAATGCAAGAGCTTTTTAAGAGTTAATTCCTTCCTTTATGAATTCACCACAAGCAAGGAAAACCACAGGAAAATCTTTCTCCCACATGTTTTAGGTAAATCCTGGTCAAGCATTTCTTAATGTGTTGCATAACTAATTCTGGTAAATGCTGTATTGTGAGTTGCGTAGGAGTGTATATGATGAACACACCTTTCTCTCAAATTTTGTGGAACACTATTAAATAAGATCACATCCAATATTCACAATTTGCTGTGAAACAAGGCCTTTGTTATTTTGAAGAAGCGTGATCACTGAGTTCAGATAAGTTATGGTAAAGACAGAGTGTTCTGCCATCAATGTCAGCTATTGTATAAAACTGAGGGGGCTTTTTAAAGATCATCTTTCGCATTATTATAAGCCATTCGGTGATAAAGCATGAATCATAAATCACTACTGACATAATACAATGTTAGTCAAAAAGTTCAGTATTATGCTTGACAAGCACTGCGAAATAATCCACATTTAAAAGAAATTAATGTGCAATATTAGAAGGACTAAGTATTTGATTCACAGTACATCAAGGTAATTTAAAAATTTGGGGTAAAAAGCAGTGAATGTTGTTTTTTCTGTAATTGTTAATGATGCCCCAGACTTAGTTGCATAAATCTTTTTTTTTTCCATTGTCTAATACTGCTGGTTATTCTTCTTCATCCAGAAGTTTAACAGTCTACATTCTCAAGTATTTTAGAATTTTTTTCCACTTGAAACTAAAACATGTGCCCAGTTTCTGACAGGTGATAAACTCAAGCAGCCATATTCTTAAGATCTTATTAAGGGCACTGCCATTTTAAATTGTAGTAAGCGTGATCTTTATTAACTGAATTGAACAACAAAGCCATCAATCACAATTATGATTTGTGTCACTTAGCATATGCTTTTAAATATTTATGCTGATCCACGATAAAAGAAACTTGCATTCATTCAAAATTATATCAGCCTCAAAAAAGGCCATTTACAAGATGAAAACACTTTTTCATTGCTGATAAAAGCATCTGTTATTAATTCTGGTCTGGTTTGAGAGTTTGATCCAATTAACTCCTTCTCAAGTAAATCCATAATCTTCAATTACCCCAAATTGCAGTTTCAAAAATTGCAATGCTAAGTTATCAAACCTAGATAGAATTACCATACAGCTTATTTTCATTCCACAGCTGTTAAAAAAAATTTTCCTATATATCACATCATAATGAATAAAAGTAATAATAATTGTGTGCTGTTTGTAAAAATTAAAACTTGGAACACATTCAAGATATTCATTTACAGACCTTAATCTCCATATTTGTCGCACTGTCTTGCTGATCACTGCGTTTCCTTTTCCTTAATTGTTTCTGGTGAAACAAAAATAGACCCCAACACATTAATCCTTTCACTCCCAAGATCTGTTTGTTAATTCTCTCCTCTAGCTGCTACACATTTCCTTGTAAATTAGTTACGAGAGTTTGGTGTTAGATCAAGATGACAACTTAACCTGATAGGTCTGAGTATTTTCACTACCTTTCTGCTGGATAATGTATGGATGTTAGTTATATGTTAATCACTTCTGGGAGTTTAAGGGTTAAAGACACATATTTGCAAAGTAACCTCTCTTATAATAAGTGTCCTTACATTCTGTTAGCTTTTAAAACTACTAATGCTCCACACTGACACCAATTTGGTCACTATAACAACATGTGAGGAATTTTGAAGGTTAGTCTCCACATTGATACCATGTGTTTGACACTTAATATGTAGCAAGCTTTAATATGCTCATGCATAATTTAGTGTTTAGGGCATCAAATTGAAGTTAGATAAACAATTAAATCCATAAATATCATTAACACTCCCTCATTTTCTTTTTACACAACATTGTCTGTTTCCCCTCACTTAATTTGAAGCTTAGGCACCCATTTGGCACCATGTTTTTGACACTTATGTTGAAAGCTTTAATCACTAATATGCTCCCAACTTAATGTTTATGTTATTAAGTCGAAGTGAGATAAATAACTCCATTAATATTACCAACGCTCTGGACATCACTTTTGTTTTTGTACAAATTTGCCTCGTTCTTAGTATTATCTCTTGAATTATCAAGTGAAAATCCAAAAATGATTGTCAGCCAGGTTCTTTTGTTTGGCCACTAAGCTTTAACTTCTGACAGTTTGTTGAAAATTTTTCACTCTATATAAGAGGAGGAGGCTTAGTCAAAAAACCCAGACAGAATTCCAAGCAGGTATAACTCCCAGGTAAGGTTTGGGGTAAAGCAAATTATCCATGTCCATAAATTCTTACTCTGCAGAGTTATTTTACTTCATAACACAAAAAACATTTTCTTTTTCATCCCAATTGTATAAAATGCCCACCAACTTTAGAAAATTAACATTAAGGAATAGAAATATAACAGCTTGTTGCATGGTTAAAACACATCACCAACTTGGCAACTTTTGTGGAAAATTTGGCCTAAACAATTTTCCCCACTCACCATGGTAACTAAAAAAAGTAGCAGCTCAAGAGTGATGTAAACAATCCATAATCACAAATGATGGCAGGGATTATCATAATGAGAGAAAACAGAGAATAACAACCAAAAGGATAGAATATACATTCCAACCTTGATATCTTTGATGTCAAGATTCTTTATGTTTAAATGGCTGCCACGTTTCTGAAATAGATTTAGAAAAACAAACCCTCATTTAATTAAAAAAATTGAGGGCACCTATAAAGTTAACATAAAATTTAAGATCAAGGTCTGACTAATTATCAAAGGCTTAGAGCTTCAATAATAAAGATTAACTAAAAACTTGAGGCCAAAAATTCATTATCTTTCTTATGTGTGATGAGCTGACCTGGTTAAATGTAGCAGTATGCTTGACCCTGGCTGGTAATACACACCCACCCACCCCTCAGACTGGATCTGTTTTGTAATCTCCAAATGATGCAATTAGTTTGAAAATGTTCAAATCAGGGCTCAATAACTAATTTGAACACTTTCAGAATCAATACTTGTACTGTAACATTATTTGAAATTACAAAACGGAATGGATTCAATTTCAAACACCAGTAATGAACTTGCATGACCAGCCACAATTATTAGTAATGATATAATTAGAGCAGTTTTATATATCAAAAAGTATTACCTTGAAAGATCTCAAAGATCTGCAAAGAATGTCGTCTTTCTTTCTTACACTTGAATCTAGAGCTTCACTTTTATCCAAATTCAGTGTTCTTGACATCTGTGCCTGCCATGATAAGAAAAAAGATATTTTGAAAACTGCATGAAAATCAAAAAGGAGTTTATAGACCCATGAGCTGATTGCTGCTTCCAATTTAACTCACAGACAAACCAATAGACACTGCCTTTGATATAAGTCCACCAAATCAGAAGAATACTGACATATTATTGGAGGATAAGGTGAATATATAATGTTATGATATATGAATTAAAGAAAAACGGATGGTACCCAGAGTTTTTGCTAAGCGCTACATGTTAACAAAATTTGCAGCATGAATAAGCAGTGATCACCACAATGGAATTTTGGCCAGTGATCACTCAGTAAAGCACAATGGACACTTCTCAGATTAAGCACAATCATTGGATATCAAATAATAATTATTGAGCTGCCTCACTTGGAATTTCAGTCAGCAACCTTATTCCTCAGTTACAGTCCTGGGTACCTCCTGGTAATCTACTGTTAATATCTTTGGAAATTGTTGTCAATAAAGCAAGAAACTTTAAACATGTCTCTGTTTCATGTAATGAAACAAACACTGCCCTTAAATAAATGTTCCAAATAATAAATTAAATTATTAAGCTATACTCTATACAGACACTCTGAAAACTGGCTTTTCATTTCCAAAGAGAACATTCCTACTGACCCCATTTTGTATAAGTTGTGATTATGTACATGTATACAACAGTGAAATCTTCAGAAAAATTATGTCTCTTGTTAGTTACGAAAGAATTTTAAGAATTGTTATATGAATTCTGTAAGTCTAGAATCAAAAGCAGCATACAGTGTATTAAAACACCTCAAAATAACTTGACCACAAATAACCTCTATTTCAAAACAATATCAAATCTATTAGGTCTATTTATTCTTCATAACAAAACTGTTTATATTAAATAGCATAAGGGATGACCTTGCAAAGATTTTGTTAAAGGTTGATAAAACAGAGAATATCTTAACTCTCCTGACTTGTTAGCTGAAAATATCTTCAAGCATTTTTAAGGTGTCAACATCGGTTTCAAATAACAAAACTCTTGCTTACGTTTAGTTAAAGATACAACTATTTTTATGTTGCTGATGGGTTTGTTATTGTCATCTTGACAGCATGTAAATGTGCTTCAGTTTTCATAAATTTGAAAACAGAATTTAGTTTCCTCTCAAAAGAGCCTAATATGTAGTTATACACAACATGAATACTAACATACCTTCCATAATGAAAAACATTACGTATTGGATGAGAACAGAAATCTATTGTAAAGTTTCTTTTCACTGCGCAACTATTTCCTGAAGTGTCACCCGACTGCTAATTTTCCCAACGTAACAAATTAGTCCCGCATTGCGCAGGATATATTTTCCTGTTTTGAAAACTAACATTAGACTTGAGTAAAGTTTCCTGTTTAATGTTGATAAAACAGAGAATATCTTAACTCTCCTGACTTGTTAACTTAAAATATCTTCTAGCATTTTTTAAGTGTCAACATCAATTTCAAATAACAAAACTCTTGCTCACGTTTAGTTAAAGATACAACTATTTTGATGTTGCTGATGGGTTTGTTATCGTCATCTTGACAGCATGTAATGTGCTAAAGTTTTCATAAATATGAAACAGAATTTAGTTTCCTGTCAAAAGATCCTAATATGTAGTTATGCACAACACTACTACTAACATACCTTCCATAATGGAAAACATTAATGAAGCACTGGATGAGAATAGTAATTGCAAAGTTTCTTTTCACTGTGGAACTATTTCCTGGAGAGTCACCTTACTGCTAATTTTCCCAACGTAACAAATAAGTCCTGCATTGCTCAGAACATATCTTCCTGTTTTGAAAACTAACATTAGACTTAAGTAGAGTTTCCTGTTTGCAGATTACATAAGCAAACTGGTAAAAACCAGCTGTCACTCAGACTAGATTACAATAATACAAAAGTGTTCATGTATTTGCAACACAATTCAAAAAACTGTCTCTTCAGGATGAAAGACAACAATTGAATTTATACAATGGCTATCACCTGTATAAATTATCGGTAACACTTAATTGACAAACAGTATCAAACAAAGATTAGCACAAGATAGCAAATAATACATGATTGTAATAACAGGATATCTAATACACTAAAACAATCATTTCTATATTTTTTAATTATGTTAAAACTTTTGTTCACATATCTTAATTAATATACTATTTGAAACAAATTTATAAACTTAAAAATATTGTTCTAGTAAGGAAATCAGCTTGGAAGGTCATGACATGGAAATCAAATCAACATATTTCCTAGACCAAATTTATTTGAAATATGTCGGGGGCCAATATCTGCACACCTAATTTTAATTTTACATAAAAAGCATGTAGAGATTCAGCACAAAAAATTGTTTCTCATAACTTCATAAGAATTTCTTATTTTCCTAAATTTAAACCAGGTTAAAGTGAATTTAATCTCCAAAAAAGCATAATATTAATCAGATTTCTTAATTTAGTTTTAGTTTAATTGACACCATTCATTCTGACTTACAATTTGTTTTTGACTACCATCACAAATACCATGTGAAAAAATTTATAAGAAAGTCATTTTCTGTTAATTTAATACTAATGTAAAATCCTTGTTCCAGTTGTCTACCAAGGCTTAACTGAATGAGAATCCTTTCATAACTGGAAAATGTAAAATAAATTTTTTACCAGCCAACTCAATGAAAGTAGCTATCTCCCTTGGAACACTCAATGTGTCATCATTGTTAAATTTTTTTCATTGGTTTAAAATTTTCAAACCAGTTTGATTAGATTCCCCCTTTATTTGGATTTAAAGAATTTCTCTTTGCCAAAATTAAATTAATAATAAAATTAAATTGAAAGGAAATCATGAACATATGACAGGTCTGGTGTGTTGTTTTTTCCCTCGGTTTTGGTTTTTTTTAGGCAGAATGAAATTGTATTATTTGATAAATTCAATCACTCTTTGCCTAATCCAAAAGTTTGATTTTAGGGAACATTGTAAGACAAATCTTACCTAACAATGGAAATTAAGCCAAGGAAAGCACAGAAAGAGATATCTTTCCAAAGTTCATCCATAGCAAGCACCAAAATGACTAAATTACGTAATAAAGGCTTAAAAAGCTGCCATTGATGAAGATACAAGCAGTGTGAGGGAGGTATAAGATGACAGCATCTCAACTTTGAATGTCACACAAAACTGCAACTACAGAATTAACCCTTTAACTCCCATGAGTGACCAAGACAGAATTTCCCCTTTCTATATCTATACAATATCATGCAGACAAGTGATGAGAATAAAGAAAAATATCAATGATGGGATTACTAATTGATCCAAAACCAAATTCTCCTAACTTGCATAATGAGAATCATTTGGCAGACAGTAAGAAGAATTACTAATGAGATCTTGAGAGTTAAACGGTTAAGACTGAGTGCAATTTTTAAGACCCAATTCAGTATATCTGAATATACACCCCACATCATTATACATCCAGCATCCTTCACTCACTTTTCCTAAAATTCTTGAGTATATCATTTGACTGAAATTGCAATGGAAAATATTCTTATTTAGCTATTTCTCTTATCCCTTGAATTCCCATGAGTGACCAAGACAGAATTTCTCCTTACAATACCAATACACTACCAAGTAAACAAGTGATAAGAATAGAGAAAAATATCAGTCAGGGGATTATAGGTTGATCCAATACCAAATTCTCAAAACTAACATTCCAAGAACTGTTTGGCAGACAGTAAGGAGAATTACTAATGAGATATTGGGAGTTAAAGGGTTAATAATATTATTGACAGAGAGTAGATAGTTAAAAAGGACCAGAAGAAACTTGAAACATCCAAACTAGCAAAATCAGGAATGATACCTGTACTATGAGATCAATGTCAGTATCCAGGAAATTGTGCACCTACCCCCCCCCCCCAACATTGACCCTGCCTTGATACTTAGTGATTATTGTTGGTTGGGGGGGGAGGATGGGTGCATAGTTTCTCTGATACTGAAATTGGTCAGTGCTATTTGTATGAATTAAAAATTTTAATTAGACATTCTTTCTTAACCATTTAACTCCCAGAAGTGATAAACATGTAACTTCTCTCTCTAAGTATCTATACATTATCCAATAAACAGGTAATGAGAATACACAAACTTATCAGGTAGAAGTTGTTATCCTGGTCCAACACTAAATTCTGACAACTAACTTACAAGGAAATGTGTAGCAGCTTGTGGGGAGAATTAACAATCTGATCTTGAGATTTGAAAGGTTAAAGAATCAGGAATCAAACTTAACTAGCAATCCATGGTGATATGGTCAGTTTTAATGATTTCTTCAGTAAATCATTTTCAACAGCAAAGTAACATTAGGTCAAAATATTAAACAGTGAAATAATAAAAACAAATTTTTCCCTGATTCGTTTAAAACATGTTACTTCTGTGATATTTAGTCACTTCAGAATTCTCAAATGAAGATTTCGTGTTGATTTCCACATCAAAAACAAAATTTTACACATCAAATTCTCACACATTTCTGCTGAAAGTATCACTGCATATTAGCCAGGTATTCTGATTCCAACACTCCTTCTGACTACTCAAGAGACCGTGCCACAGAGAAAAGGGTATGTCTCAAAATCAATCTCACAAATATTAAAAGAATTAACCCACTCATAGTAAAATATGAAATAAAAATAACATAGAGTAAAAAGTATTGATCATTACTAATTTCTAAGGCAACAACAAAACAAAACAAAAAATAGACACTTAAAAATTGATCGAATCGAATTACAAAACTAGGTACACAGAGACGAACAAAGGTGAATTCGTCACTTAAAATAATCACATCTTCAGCTTGTCATTTTGAATTTTTTTTGAAAATTGAATGTTCACATAGTGATGTTATCATTTTTAATCACTTCCTCTAGGAAGAGATCTGGAAGTTACAAAGTGATTTTCAAACCTACACTCCGTTCTGTCTTTGTCAACAACTATTTTCCTATTAACAGTTTGATTTCCTAGATCAAACAACTATGAATTATTTAGATCAACAGAGAACAGAGTGGTTTTGTTTTCAACTGAATATTCTGAGACTGAGTCAGCTCAGGCCCAAAGGCATAAAAAATTATTGCCGAAGGATACCCTGACAAAACACATTACCAACTGAAAATACTGTTTTCCCTTCAGAAGAAATTACTATGAGCTGCTAATCATTTCAGAAACATGGAACTGAAGGCGAGTTTCTACCACCTGCTTTCTGAGAGTTTAGATTACATTTTCCCGTCGAATTGTGTCACTTTGTTAGACATATGGTTTCTTGGCTATTAATGTTTAATCGCAATATCAAAACGAAAAATATAATATAGCGCGTCAGGTACGAATATGTGAACGCAAAGTCATTCAAAGTAAAAAATTGAAACTGCGTTTGATGACTTGCATAAACGTTATCCCCGCCTTTAAATAAATTACAAAGCCATTCTCTACATTAAGATTACTTCTGTTACACTTATCGAGCTCTAACAATTAAAATATGTGTTAGACAATTATTTTGAATGAGTTTTGGCTGCGATCAAATTGAAGAAGATAACTTACCTCAAATAATACGTGGATATTTACATCATTGACTTTGAGTGCTGCCTAGAGACTCTCTCAATGAAATTCAAATCGTTTACGAGAGAAAATTAAGCTACTCTAGCTTGTCTTAGTCGGTTTTACAACAAGATAACGCAACAAATAACAGTTAAAGCCGTTTACAAAAGCGATGTTAATTTTTTGGCAGAGGCGCAAAGGCTAAATAGTCCAATATCTTTTACCGATTGCAAATTATTCTTTATTGTTCAGTCACGGATGAGAAAATGTTTATGACACTATCACTTGTCGTTTCAAAGAATGTATTACATCGAATGAAAGCCGGGAAAAGAATTAATACTCATCATTCAAAGAATGAGTGATTCAAACACTCAAGCGAACGTAAAGGTAATTGACAAATAGTTCTTTCCGACGTCTAGAACGAAAAATTTCAGTTTCGCATGCCCCACGAGCGATCGATATCAAGGTGAAACGTAGAGAGGAATCAAACCGCATAAAATCATGAATAGTATCATTACAATCTAAGAGGAAACACTGATTACCATACCTTCAAACATCCCTTGTCTTGGCTAGTTCCCTTTTGTTTACCAATCGGCCCGGATCTGAGTTTTCTGAGACAAAGCCCGTGAGTGCATTAGTAAACAAAGCATGCAAATCTACAAATACACAGAGAGCTTCTATTCATTCAAAGCTGCGTCATTCAGCTTTGATTCAAACAGCTTACCTCGACATTCCCGTGTGACGCTAGAGAAATTTGAATATGAAAAGAAACTCTCGAAAAGGGAAAAGCTCCTTTTTCTTTGGAGTTGAATGATCACGCGCTCTGTATTCGAATCCAAACCGAACGTCGCTCAAAGTCGTTCTAAGCCAATCAGAGAACGTAATTGACTCTTGGGGACAAAAATGGTTTGTCCCCTTTCTCCTCCGTCCTTACATATCTTGTAACTAAAATTATATTTTATAAATAGATTTATTTGCTTTCCTTTCCTTTTTGCGCTAAAAATAATGCAACTTTGATGCAAACGGGCTCCAGTTATTTGACTTACAGTACTGTAGTAATAGAGAAAGATGTTTTTTTTCGTCTTGTCACGAGCGTGGGACAGACAGTAGTAAGTTGTAGCGGAAAGTTGGACACTTCAGGATTCTCTCAAGTGTACCTAGCTAAATAAGGGGCTCCTGACCTAGCCCATAAAAAAAAAAAAAGAATTTTGTCATTTATCAGAATGGATCAGCTACGTGAAATATTGCATCTGCTTTGGCCCCTTAAACCTACTTTAGCCAGGAGCCCAAGTGATGGGCTCCTGCTTTAGCCCATTGTAATGTAGAAATGTTGAACTGGTTCAAACAATCAGTGTCAATGAAAAACATACAAAGAAACAGAGAACTCAATGCTTCGCCCGACAGTGAAGTATACGAAGGTACATGTATTGTAAGATTCTAATAATAACTACCACAATTGTAACCAAGAACCCTTACCCAGCTCTCAACTCAAACTCTGAACGAAAAACCCTACGCGGTCAGGAAATGTAGGCTGCGGAATGCGATACGCTGGATGCAGGATGCCATGTGCGTTATGCGGGATGCTGATGCGAGATGCGAGAAGCGCCAAAGATACTCAATTACTGGCTGGTGATGAAAAGGAAACAGACATCAGTTCGTGGTTTATATTGTGATCTTCTGCTGCATCATTCAACACAATCATACCGGACGCAATAGAATGAGTAGGTACATGCACAGAAAATCTTAACGAATTCGCTAACGCACTTACCGTTTTTACAAACCAGTGAGGAATATGCCGAGTAGAAAGCTGGGTCAGACGACTTACAAATATCCTGGTAGGACGAAAGACGTCTCGATAATACAAAATCAGCTGCCTTAACTTATTTTTTAGCGAGTAGATTAGCGCCGGTTGAAGATTGAAAATTGCGCTAAGTCTTCAACTCTTTAAGTAATGCGGGAAGTCCGACTACAGGCTGCCTCAAGAAAATGAAAGAGGGCGAGACATTCAACTTCCTTTAAGGGCAGAAGTCGGAATTTTTGGAAACTTTCCAGGGATTTTCATAACTCGTTCAGGCAGGAGAACTGCCTCTAGAGATCTTTAGACTAGTAACGAAAGAAGATGATCATTTCATTTCGCAAAAACTTCATGCAATTAATGTAAAAATTATTTGACCAGCCTCTTTAGTTGAGAGGTGATAATTGGATGAAACAAGGAAATCAAACAACACTCAGAATTCAGAGGTTTTTTTCATTTATTCTAGTAAATAAAACGTCGCTACACTGGGTTCCCCGCTGGGGCGAAAGACAGAGAGACAGAGAGAGAGGAGGGGGGGAACGAGACGAGGAGAAACTCTGGAGGTGGACTAAGTAAGTTGCACTATCGATAACATGGCATGACGTGCAATTACGCAGGCGGAGAGGAAAAATCTCCCCAATGTACTTCCCTTTTCAAAAGTTACGCACCTTTAAGTTAAAATTTCCACTTCCCCTGCGTCATTCAGGAATAAATAGTCGGTAAAAATTTTGACGCGCGAAAATTTGGATCAACGTAAGAGTCTGAGAACTGCACACCTACCCCTCCCCTAAACCAACATAGATCCCGTCGTTTGACTGTTGCTGGGTTAGGGGAGGGTAGGGTAGGCGCGCAGTTGCTCAGATACTGACCGTTGTTTCAGTGATTTGTTTCCCAAGGTTACAGCTTTATATTATTTCCAAATAAAATCAACTGTATATTTAGCCTGGCTTTTCAATCTTTTTGGTCCCCAAAAAGAAAGGGCCAAGTGCATCTAACGAATTTTCATGGCTTCGATCTGCCACAATCTCTTTTTCTCTAACGAAAAACACATAAAGATTACTTTGAATGTAGACTTAACTTAATAAACCGAGTTTAACTAAATTTCAGCTGTATCTGAATTTTACATTGATATTCTTAATTTCGATTAAAAAATCCTAAGTTTACTGTCGTTGTTCACGTCACGTTCATATCAATAGCGATATTCTTCGTTAGTTGTCTCTCGTTTCCAGTTGCCATGGTATCCGAAGTGAAACCATGAGCGAGTATGGCGTCCTAAATTGAATAGGCCTTAGCTTATTGAGACAGCAGGTCTTAAAGCCACATCTTAGCAAAAACACTTTATAAAAAGTATGAAAAATTTTCACTGGAGGAGAGAAATTTTTACAATGGTAGTAAGATAAGAGATTTCTTACTACAAAGTTTTGCGAGCTCTCTACTACTCCGGCCGAACGACTGTGGTTCGACGCATAATATGCAGGTAAACAGCCTTCGGTCGGCTGAATTTTTTTTAAGTGTGAAGAAAATATTTTTGCTTGATTCTTGTGGAATTGTGATTTCCATCTGCTTCAGATTAATGATTACGTTATCTGAAGGAATACGATCGATATGCCCACGTATTTAAGTCTTTTTTTCGATTCCATTTGTAAGATTTAAAATTCTTATCCACTGAAGATTGATCAGTTTTAGATTTCTGGACATATGTGATTGCATTTAACAACTTTGAAAGCGGATTTTTCCATAACAACCGGAATTATGAAAGACTTCCTCAACGGAAGTTAAAATTTTATTACTCAAAGTCAATTTGAACAAATCCTCTTTAGGAGGATAAAAAGATCAAGGAGCTCTGTGTTTCTACAGTTAAGCTACGCTTAATCATGGTCTGCCAATTCATTGGAGAGAAGATATCTCTGTCCAGAATTTTAGCCACAACAGTTCAAGAACGCTTCCCTTTAATCTCGAAAATTTATTCAGTGAGCAGTTTTCGTATTTCCACTATAAGACGAAATAAAATATTTTTATTGAGCACTTGATACTACTCTATTTGTGATTGGTCGCTGCCTATAATCTATCAAAGCATAGACACACGACTGACGTCATCAAGAGGAGAACTTGTATTTTTCACTCTATCCAGCATGGTGCACAGTTTTGGAAATGTTGGCGAAATCACTCCATATAGAACAAGTGGAGATTACGAAAAAAGTGTAACAGTAGGATGAAAAAGATAAACCCTGGAGAGAAAGTATCTGGAAAACATTTGGACTGGAACAATCTTAAAACATTTCCGCGTCAAGGCAAGTTCTATTTTAATTTTTCTGGAATCACTTCAGTTTATTTATCATGCGAAACCAATAGACTCCGTTTTACAGCGTGTTTTACAAGATCACAGAAGACTTCAAAATAGGTGTAACAAGAACATCAAATTCACTTTCCCATGCGATCGTATGATCGAATAAGGCTTTCTTTTTCTTTCCATACCGTCTCATCACCCGTGATTTACATTCTGAGAAGTTAGGGGTGCGTCACCAGCTGGCAAGATGTTTTTTTCGTTTTGTCGCGAGCGTGGGACAATGAAAACATACTGTGTCCCCACGGGGAATCGCAAATCAGACTTTCTCCGATGCTCTACCATTCAGCCACAGAGACTCTATGGTGAGCAAGGCCAACTACGGAGTTCTTATATGACACACGTCCTGCTTACCACTAGGATCAGCAATGTCGATACCGTCATGTTTTGTATATAGAATAAGAAAGATGGTGGATTTTAATTCCTATCGATCAAAATCTGTTATGTATTAGGTCACATTACATTTCTGAAATTTCGTATTTAAAACAAAGACTGGAACACTTCAATCACATACACGGATGGTTTATTTACTTGAGACAAGTCAACACCAGGTATGTACAACTCTTCGTTTAATTAAGATCCTGTAATAATGATAATGATAACTCATTTTAATTTCATTTTTTATAATATATAATTATATATAATGTGTTATCGACCTTTTTCATAACCTTCTCTTGTCTGCCAGCGTTCTGTCTAAAAAAAAAAAAGGAAAAACAAAAACAGAACTTAAAATTGTGGATACTCCGTAATTGCAGTCAAAGTACTCTTAGAAAATCGGAAAAGAAATCACGACTTTTACCTGTGTGCATACGAAATTTAAATTTTCGCCCTTAAATCAGAGAATATTAAGCTGAAGAGGAGTGTTCATCGTCTACGTTAACAAAATGCTTTTTTTTGAAATCACAATCTCGAAGATACTAGCAGCACATTTAAGACATCAAAAGCAGTTTTGAGACAATGAGCTTTCAAAACTTGTCTACAACCGTCCAAGTTGAAAGACGAATCGAAGAACTTGCAAAGTGCGAACAGTTTGTATCTCAAAGCAAGCAGTCTTGCACGCGGGAAAAGTTACTCACATCTTCATAATCAGCTTTTCCATGTCTACACCGTGTAAAAAAGAGAAAATGAGCTGATATGAATAGTTCCTGAGTTTCCCCTCTCCGGCGTTCTCCCCCCCTCCCCCCCCTCCCCCCACATATATAAATCCATAAATCCAGCTTGTCAACCAAGAAGCAACGATGTCTTCCCCAGGAAGCTAGAATCAGTCTAAAAAAAAACCGATTACGTTGATGATTGATTGTACGTAGACATTAATTTAAAAAAAGCCGAGTGCTGTAGTCAACTCAAATTGTTTTCTTTTTAACTCAAATCCGACTCGTGGCTCTCAATAAAGTTGATCTTAAAGATTGAGCAGTTAGTGGCTGTCTTTTGTAGAGGCGGAACCAGGAATTTTTTTAAAGGGGGACCGGATGCAAAATTATCTCTTGACCGGCCCGCTCTCACTCCGACCCCTTCCCCCCTCCCCCCCTATCCCCCCTCCCCCCCTACTTTCCTATTTTACTGCTTCCTTTTCGCCTACACACACGAAAAAATCTGCAAGTTAAGCTCTTACATACGATCTTCGTAGTCGTGGCGAGAATTTTGGTGTCAGACGAATAGTAAAAAAACAAAAACAAAACAAACCAAAAAGATAACACGAAATAGGTGAGGAGCTCTTAGATCCTCCCCCTAGAACTGCTCCCTTACTGCTCTGCCTATCTTGCTGATGGACGACAGTACGTCTAGAATAAACTGGACAGGTGCCAAATATGACATCACTCTCGAGGAAAGTGCTGCTGGAACGTAAAACCTATTTTATTAGTGTTTGAACCCGGTTGATCCGCTGTTCAAGACGTCACGTCTGTTACTTTTAAGTATTTTTTAGTGCTTTTCTCCGTGGTTTTCATCGACTTCCGCTGTTGTCGATATCCACGACTTCAAAAAACTTTTTTTTATCTCGCGAAACTCTACTGCAACATCAAAAAATTTGGTTCTTGAACATAACTAGAGCAAAAAATTCGACTCTCTATCGTAGAATCAAGCCTGTAACTACAAGAAACTATTGCCCAAAAAGGAAAATCAGCGAAACAGAAAGAACTGATAATACTGGCTTTAAATTCCCCGAAGCATAACTTTCCTTTCTCTGTCAACGGTCGGTCAAGTTTGCATCCACGCGACTCGGAGTTGACATCGCGACGTCATGAAGGCCTCTGAGCTTCATAAGCGGATGTATCATTTTGTTGTCTGAAGAAACGGGTTGTTATCGGCCGAAAAAGAAACGTTCTTAGCGGTGTCTTTCATAAAGCGGTTAGCCTCGGAACACGCCTGAAGGGGAACTCGGTGAATTGAAAAAGTAAGTAGTTGATCAATACTGATTGTCTTGCAGTTGGAATTGTGCCCTTTAGTTTAGCTTTTGATGGTAATCTTACATAATCAGTTACATGAATTCATCACACGCAACTAGTACTGGTTTCATCGGTATTCAACTGGCCCCGGGAAGATATTTGTAGCACTGCTTAGTACTATAATTGATCAAGAGAAGGCAGGCACACTACTTATGAATACTAAGAGTCACTCGAGCCCCTTTAGATGAAAAACTCTGAAAGATCACGTACGCCCTTCAATTAAGTTTTGTAAACACAACTGCCACGGGTAATGAGACCGACATACCCACGCCATTGTCTTAAAGATATTGGTCCATTCGCAATTTTATCGAATTGATTTTATTCTAAAATTGAATGGAATCGTATGTGAAAGAGGTGTCTGCTCATAACTGCCTCGTGCGAAATGCTAAAGAATGAAGGCGGAAACTTCCATAAACTGCCGTAATCAAGGAAACTAACTTTAAACGAAACAACTTTGGAACCACTTTTAAAGATATTAAAGATTAATAAGCTATAATTTTGACTCCAAAATGCCAGACATGAACAGAAGTGTCACTGTATTAGAGGTTTTTTTAAGCTCTTTGTCGAAGGATGGACGACCTGTGTTCGGCTTGGTAGAAAACTCTCTGCAAAGAAAATATTCCCACGGAGCAAGAAACTTAGGGGAAATTCCTCCAAACTTTTTGAATCTCTTACTTATCTTCAAATGAGCTAAGAAATTTCTCTGCTCTCCAATATCAGCGAAAAATTCTGAGGTTGCCTCAAACAACACCAATATTGCTCTTTGGTCTAAGATGTTGTGTCTTCTGCCAGAAAGACTCGAAAACAAAAACGAAGGAAAGAAATACTTCAATTAAATGTACACTTAATCAGTACCTCAGTTGATATTCATCAGTAGCAGGACGGAAAGCGTTGCCTTCATCCGTTATTTTTGCAAGATCGTTATGAAAGATAGCGTGATCAAACTATTGTCCGTTTTCTAGGCAAATCTTCGCGTGTGGAAAATTTCGTATTGGTTCCATACTTCCTCGGATAATCCGTTTTATTTAAGAATTGCTGAGGGAGAATACGCAACTCGTCACTTGTAATGTTCACAAATTAACAGATTCATAGCTTTCCCAACAGGAACTCAGCACGTTCGTATTGGATATGAAATCTTTATCTGTCAGCGAAATCTTCAATTTCTATTTTTTTTAAACTGGTAAGAAATAACCTACGAGAACCCTTCTGCAAAGATTTGCTGTGACACCAATATAGATCGTAAATGCTGCTAATGCGTTTAACATGGGTATCATCAAGTTGTCTTTGAAGCCATATTGTAACAGATTTTGTTTTAATCAAGCTATAAATTTTGTATGCGTCAGCAGTATTCCTCCTGTAGCGATAAAACTGACATATTTTTGCTAAAATTGAAAGTTTTGCAATAGGATTGGCCCCTAACGTCAGAAATAGAGCGTTTCGCTGATATTTTGAAATTAAAAATTAAATGGTAATGATGATAATTTTTTTATTTAACAATAGTTTTTAACGTGCAAACCTTTGTGAAACAATTCTGAAGACGTGTTGTGAACAACCACAGAGATGCCAATGACACAGAGAAACATTTTCTCGCCCACTATTTCTACTAAGTTTGCAAACAAATCCATTATCTCTGCAATATTTTCCTTGCGGTGTGAGGGCTCACCGCAAAAATTCCCTCACTCTTCCGGTGAAACAACGGAAAACTTGCTGATTGTCTGAGCCGTACCGAGGAATCAGCCCTGAGGCTAAACGCGCTAGAACGGCGTTGTTATTGAAAAGTTTCGTTTACAGGTCAATGTATGGGCAGTAATTAGAGAAGCATCTATAATATTTTTAGCAACCTTAATGCTAATCAAATACAAGTTCGGTCAATGTGATCAGTGAAGCAGTCCACCGCAGAGTTTTGTTATACGAAATTCCATGCGCTGATTGGTCGGCGGTGTATCACGATGTCAAGAATGTGTCAATCAACGCCAGCTGTTTAGTGAAGATCGGAAACGCGTCGCCTCACGATAAACACACCTTTGGTGCTTTCGAGGTAGTTTCAGTACAAAAGTCAATTATTACACAATCTGGAGGATCTTGTTAGGAGGTCTTAAAGTACAGAAGTTGTTTAAGTGCGGAAGTTCATTCTGTTTGACTTTGTCAACGAAGACTGTGGGTCGAAAGTAAGGTGAGATTTTGCCAAGATCAAGAAGTCAACCCTATGTTTTATTAGTTCGACGGCTGCATAACGATAGCGAGTCCTTGACTGTGATTGGATTTGTCTTTTACCGCTTTTATTAGTAAGGTAAATCTTTCAAAAGTGCCAATGGATATGAGTTTTTAAGACGCACCGATTGCGTCTCAGAGATTTGCTCTGAGAGAACAGAAAGCGAAATTATGGAGACCGCAAATGAGCAAATTTTGTCCTCTTTGCAAAATTTTTGTGCGCTAACTTTATAACACGTTTTGGAAATTTAGCGGGAAGTCGTTCGTCTAAAATTCTGATGCTTTTGCAGCAAAGAAGCAGAAAATATATGCCTAGTGTGAGCTTTAGTATTGATAATAGAGGTAATTCTTGAAGTAAGTGAATGCTCTATAGTGGTGATGCATCAAAGATATCACTGGTAGAGGATTGGATGGAAGCTGCTCACCTTGCCTTTGAATGCTCGAAATTACTTGTCAACGACGTTTTGATACACTTGAAAAACATTGATACGTTGAATAATTTCACGGTTACCTATGGTTCTTTTCCTCAGAGATATTAATTTTTGTTTTTGCTCCAGAACACGCTCGAATTTTGTCAAGAGCTGATTAAAATTCTCTGCTCAAATTTCTCATTTGCGCGTCCGCTTTGTTGTCATTTATCATCAAAATTATGCAAAAAAGATTACTTGAATATAAATGAACTTTTACAAATTAAAATTATTATTCTGCCGGTGTATATTGGAAGTGTTTACATTTGCGCTTCAAATTTCGTTTTAAGAGACCAGTCAATATCGAAAAAGAGCTTGAAAAAATTCACAGACTTTTCCTCTGCCGGACTTCTGAAACCTTGGGGATTAAAAAGTTTTATCGCGGTTTTGAGGAGATGACATGACTTCTTCTAAAGGTAATTCTTGAACTTTACAAAACACCGTGTTTTGCTTGTCATGCTATCCTTCAACAAGCAAGAGGGCGTGAGTTTTCGTCGACAGCAGGGAGTTGACTGTATTATTAGTGAAGAATTGTTAAATCGTGGCATTGATCAAGAAATCTGTCGAAAATTGTGGCCAAAATGCTAGAAGGAACAATATGGGGAAAACAGACTGGCCAACACATCATATTTAGCCATTGTTTCGTCTCGTTGACTGATAAGATCGATTTTGAATGTGTTTACGGCTCTCACAGAATTTGCTCGCTGTTTAGTACTTGACGGTTTGACGTTTTAAGCGGAAGGAAAAGTCACGCAATTAATTTTACTCTGTGGATTGCAATTGGCGTAAAGCTTTCACTATATCATTGGATTATTCCAGAAGGTTAAATTTGTATTTCGATCTTCGAACCCGATGACTGTGAATTTTAAATGGATGGTGAGTATAACTTAGAATATTTAAAAAAACACCAGGGCAAACTGACTTGAGAAGGTCATTGCCGTGTTAAACGCGTTCGGAGATTGTTGATCGATATGAAACGAGATTACAAAATGGTGTTAATTAGCTTCTAATGAGGATGGCATCGAGAACATTTTCGTACGAAAGAATTATTCCAAGCACAATAAAAAATGATCTTTTAGTATTTATAGAGGAAATATCGTGAAGAAATGTCACTCGCATTTTATTTGGGAAGACATAAAAACTTTGAACAGCGTTGGACAGATTTTTAAGCGGCTTGGTTTCATTTCGGTTATCTCAGCATTTTGATCAAATATTCAAAATCAGATATTTTAGGCACAAGCGACAGTCAACGAGGAAATCAAGGCGAACTAGAGGCAAATTGAATGTAGATATTGTTATTCATTTAACACCAAACTCTTTCAATGTCCTAATGAAGTTTTATATCGTGTGATGAAGTCGATGAAGTAATTTGAAATTGACTTGCGTATTAAAATTAAAGTTTTGAACTTGCTGGTTTAATTGTTAGTATTAATGATTAAAGAGGCGCTCTTTTAAATTTAATTAAGAAAATTGATTTCATAGGCTTAAGTTTTTTGTGGACTTAGGATTTAATGTGGGATTATTTGAACACACATTATCCTTTTGTCATATCATTATATGAAAATATCGCCAAGTTTTATTGCCTCAGGACTTTGTACTTAATTCAGTTAATTAACTTTGAGCTTGAGTCAAATTTAACTATTTCAAAAAAATGTTTAAATTTTTCAGCAAGTAATAACATATTTCTGGTTATGAAAAATTAATGATTGATGCAAACTGTGCATGTAATTTCATGACTGTGGAACTACCAGAGTTTCTCACCACAAAAAAAGCATGGATTTAAAACATGGATTCTAAGATACGGTTAAAAATGACTTACTTTAACTGCAGTTTGGGGGTTTTCACTCTCTAAGGAGGTAAACCGTTTTGCAATGGATAATTTTATTTTTAACCTTTCTAATTTATATGAAGACAAGGGTGATCTTGGCAGTAATGAAATATATGGCATTCATATATCACAGTCATTCTCTCTGATTTGTGTGAGCATCTTTTCACAAACCAGGAGAAGCATTCCCCTTTATTACTATGGCTCTCATGTAGAATACAATTTAACCTTGTTGCTATTGTTGACTTACAAATTCTTTTAAAGCTATAAATGTTTAGTTCCTTGCAGATAGGTGATACGTTGTGGTTTTTTTGTCTTCAAATAACCTAAATGAAATCCTTTACCTTATTATGTATGATCAGAATTTCTGTGGTAATCTTTGATACTCAGGGGTTTGTTGAAATAATATGAAATCAGGGGCAGCTACTAAAAAACTTTCCAAATTCCTGCTGCATGATTGTTGCCTCTTTGCTATGGATGTGAGAGAAATATTATCTATTTCAAAAAACAAGTGTTAATAAGTCTACCATTTCTTTTCATGGATCAACTTGTTTAAGTCTGTGATCACTTCTCAAACAAAAGACATTGTTGTTTTGGGCTGGGTTTGACAATAGGGTTAAAATGCAGTCTTAAATTGGCTGAATATGTTTCAATAAGTCTATTATACTAAGCATATCTCTCATTTTTTTCTCGTGGGATCATTTACTTGTCCTCTCAAAGAAGATATCATTATGTATGGCGCAATTAACCAAAGTGTGGGCAGCTTGACCCACAGAAGTTTTTGAGGCAATGGCATGTACACTCACTTAAAACCTTTTACACTAATTTAACCATCACACCTTTCTCGTCCTAGTTGAGGTCTATTTTGAGATGAATCAAATATTGCATGCATCAATCCTATTGTTTATAAAATCCTTGTGAAAGGATCAAGTCCTTTATCCATAAGCTAACTTAATTATCATAAAAAGGTTGAATTATAAAAAGTAAAGTAATGTGATTTATTTTTTCACAGATACATCAATGTGCAGATAAATTTCAAACTTTAGGAGACCAAGTCAAGAGTTGTTTAAAGATTTTTCACCAGAAAAATGAACTTCAGAGTATACATTTTTTGCCTCTGCATAACACTAATATGTGGTAAAGAACTGCTGGAAGGGCAATACAGGAGGCTGCCAAATGCCGTAGCTGTTGTTGGAAGACCTTTTGAGTATAATTTACCCCCCTGGGATGGCAGCCAACAGCAATATAAGGTATGTTGAAGCAGATCAACAGTGAATTGGATATCAAATAATCCAAGAACTTGTAGCAGCATTGAACAAAGTATTACAACATCAAATATACCTGCTCTTTGAGTTTAACTCTTAAACTCCCGAGATCAGATTGTTAATTCTCCCCTCTAGCTGCTACACATTTCCTTGTCAATTAGTTACATGAATTTGGGGTTAGATCAAGGTAACAACTTCTACCTGATAAGCATAAGTATTCTTATCAACTATTTGCTGAATATGGTATGGATATTATAGGGAGAAGTTACATGATAATCACTTCTGGAAGGTAAAGGGTTAAGGGACTTGTCAGAAATTAGCAGGGGGGGAGGGGGGGGTGGGAATTTTAAATTTGGGTTCGGAAATTAGGTGACCCATCCCTGCAATGGGAGTGAAATTTGCTAACCCTCCCCTTGAGCTCGGCCTAAAATATCATGACCCTCCCCCTTCTTGCTATAGTACTTCACAGTTTATATCCATAACATTCCGTAAACTGTTGTATTTTTCTCTTTTTTTTGCCAAATAAAGAACTTCCTTTCTCTTCTGTGGGTGAACCTTTACATGATCACGGGCATATATTTGCATGACCCTCCCCCTTCTAACTGCCCATTTTTCATGACCCCTCCCTTTTCTGAGGCTCAAAAAGTTGTGATCCCCCCTCTGTTTCCACCCCCCCCTCCCCCCCTGCTAATTTCTGACAAGTCCCTAAGTAAAATATAAGCTCTGAATGTGAGTTTGTACACAAATTGCTGGACTTAACACTTTCACTCTCAAGATCTCATTTGTAATTTTCCTTACAGTCCATTATACATTTCTGATAATGTTTAAGTTCTGAGGATATAGTATTAGATCAAATAGTAATCCTCTAACTTATGTTCTCCTGTATTCTCCTCACATGTCTGCTTAATATTATACTGGTATTCTAAAGAGAAATTCTGTCTTGGTCACTCATGGGAGTTAAGGGGTTAATCTTAAAGTCTTCACTAAATTGTTTTCAAAACTGGGAAACACCAGGAGTCTGCACTAGTTTTATTCTTACTTTTCAAGCATAAAAACCTAGTAGGGTTATGAAAAAATTTAATTTTTTTTTTTCATCAAGCAGGATTACTAATAAATTATCATGACAGTTGAAGATAAAGTTAATGTAAATATGAGAAGCAGGTTATGTCGCAAAATTTCAGTACATTATTTCAGTGAAACCTTCACCTACTGTAATGGTTGTAAATTGTTTCTTTTCTCTTATCCTGGGTGTTTAGTTTCATTGATCATCTTTAAATCACAACAAATTTGTGTGAAATAAGTGTAAATTATATGCAAACATTATTTTAAGGAGGCTCTTCATTCTTTAGCAGCACTTAAACTTCATCTAAACTCTTTTCAGTAATATTGGCATGTTTTAAAATGGCAGCCAACTGCAAAACATGGCAAGGCCTATGTCAAATTTTCTTCATTATAGATATTTGTTGCTGTTTTCTTGTAGGCCTTAGAAAAAGGTAAAACAGTTCTACCCAAATGGCTGTCATTTGATGAAGCCAGTAACAAACTTCTTGGTGTACCATTATGGCGTGACAAAGGCACAGTTCAAGTTGAAATCCAGACAAGGCATGGGGACTGGAAAGCTGAACTCTCAATCACTGTTCAAGATTTGCATACAGTCTTGGAGAACAAGTTCATCCTATCAAATGAGACAAAGATACCATCCTTTGCCGAACCCAAATGCACCAATGGAATACCTGTAGCAGTTGCTACTGTGCAGTTTGATCTTCATATTGATAAACTGTATGGAGAGGACAGAATAAATCTCATGAGAAAATTGTCTGACTTTGCTGATGTTGGCACAATGGAGCTTCACATGGCAGTTGGCAAAGGACACAGCACAGCATTCGGGTTGAAAGATATCATGCCGGTTACAGCAGGGCCAGGAAATGTGGCAGATTCCAAGCAGCCAGGTGTGGTGATCTCTTGGAAAATTGGTTGTGGAATTGACCTGTCAGGTATGTAGTTAGAAGGATCATTAACACTATCATTCCCAGGAGTGACTAAAAAGGAATTTCTCCCTATAGTATCAAAACAATATAAATCAGAATTGTGTTGAAAAGAGAAAGGAATATCAGCCATATTACATTCTTTGAGCTAGGACTTAATCCTCAGAGCTGATATTACGAGAAATGCCTGGCAGACTGTGAAAAATTGACACTTAGTTCTTGAGAGTGTACAAGGATATAACCCTTTACATCCTAACATCAGTATGCATATTCTCCACACTGTTCTCTACACATTTCCTAAGATGCTGACAAGGAGACTTTGTTTAACAATGGAGAGCTTTTTTCAGTTGGTGATCATTTCCTTTAGTCTCGTAACCTTAATGTTTAATTTAGGGGTGATATAGTAAGAGGAAGTTGGATACTAGTCACTCTTAGGGTTTAAAAGGTTAAGGTAGGTCTCAGGCTTGTGTAGCATCCAGAACATACTAGACATGTTCTAAGCTAAATAATTTGATGTTGTTCACACTGATGTTTTTGTTTGTTTGTTTGTTTTTTTCAAGGAATGCATGTGGCATCTCTTTTAAAGTCCAGTTCTGAGCATGGGTCATTTAAACAAGCCTTGAAGGCACCTGTCAGTGGGTGGCATATTGCCACAGGACAACCTAAAATTAAGCAGAAAAGGGGGCGCAGACAAGCTCCCAATCTTATGCCAACTCCAACGTGGACCAACATGATGCCTACTCCAACAAGTATGACAGCCCCACCAACTATTTCAGTGACACGCACTACAATAACTTCAACACCAACAATCACTGTTGACACAGAAGCGCCTAAACTTCTTAACCCAATCCCCACAATATCTGTTTTCTTAGGGATAGTGACTCGCTACAAAATCCCTGAGGACACATTTGTAGATACATGGGAAGGTGTATTCACAAGAGATTTGCGACTGGATATGAGGCATTTTAATGGATCACTTGAAAGCAAACTGCCACCTTCATCATGGATATTCTTCGATTCAAGCACACAAGAAATTTATGGCCTGCCCTTTGGTAATGACTTCACAGGATCACACCACTTTATTATCAGGGCAGCAGATAAAGCTGGAAATATTGCTTCACAGAACATTACTGTAAAAGTATCAAATCGCAACCTCATGTACAATCATCAGTTTACAATTGTCCTGAACTATAACTATGAGGAATTCATGAACAATGTGAATATTCGTCTGCTGTTGATAAATAAATTAGCAAATTACTATGGCTATGACAACTCCAAGCTACATGTTTCATCCTATACATACATGCACGGCTATCTTTTTTTCACCTTCCAGTTTGAGTCGTTAACCTTGGATTGTAATAGTAGAGAATTAAAGAATCTTGTGGATGGCTTTGGAAAAAGCAAACTGAATCCTGAATTTCAGAAACATCTTCTTCCAGAGTTTGATATCAAGTATGGCTATCATGGAGGCATTGGGCCTTGTAAACCAACTTCGCAGCTCAACACTAAACCTGTTGTACACCAAGCACTTGGCCAGCTGAATGTCTATTTGGGACAAGGAATGCGCTACAAGATCCCATGGGACACATTCTTTGATAAGGAAGACTATTACACACCCAGTTTAACCCTAGAATTAAGAACAAAAGACGACAAACCTCTACCATCATCGTCATGGATAAATTTTGATGCTTCTCAACAAGAAATTTATGGCCAACCCATTGATGTAAGCTCTCTTGGATCACAAGAGTTTCGTTTGTTTGCCATCGACAGTGATGGATTGCAAGCATTTACCAATGTAAAGCTGTCAGTTGTAGATGACACCAACCGTTATAATCACGATTTTGGTATTGCTCTCAATGCAGATCATCACACATATGAAAACTTGATTGAAAATGCTGAAAACAGAGTGTTGCTGGTAGAGGCGATAGCTAATTACTACAACCTAAACCTTGGACATGTACGCATTTTCAAATTCCAACATGGCCCATCTTTCCATTTCAGATTTGATTCTATCCCATATGATGACTGTAAGAATACCCTTTTACAAAGAATTATTGGTGGATTCTGGAAAAGTAATGAGATAAACCCAGAATTTGTAAATGCGCTCAATGACAACAATTTCATTGTTGACACTGGTTACTACTTTGTCATTGGACCATGTGAAGACCTCAGTCCCCCCAAAGGAGGACCACCAAATTTTGTTGGAGATCGTATCAGGGAAGAAATGTATCTAGGGCAAGCACTATTCTTCCAAATACCTCATAATGCATTCTTTGATGAGCAGGACTTTTATACACCTAACTTAAAGCTGAGCCTAAAAACAACAGAGAACAAGGGTCTTCCATCACCTTTTTGGATTTACCTTGACACTGAAAAACAAGTCATTTACTGTTTGCCCAAGAGTATCAGCACAGTGAAGAGAAATAGATTTGAACTAATTGCAACAGATAGTCATCAACAGGATGGAGACGGCTCCGTGATAATAACAGTCAAGAATGACCCAGGCAGTTACGACTACAAATTCTCTATTCGTATTAAAGACTACTCAGCAATTAAGGATGATGTTGTGATAATGTTTCAATTGTTGCAAAAAATTGCCAGATACTATGGATGGAACTATCAAAATGTGAGGGTCTTCAGGCAAGAATCTGAGGGTTTTTTCACATTTGGATTTGATACCATTCCTTCAAATGACTGTGATGGTGAAATCTTTCAAAAGGTGAAAGATGGGTTTTGGGCAGGCACAAAGCTGAATTCCAACTTTCAGAAGGCCCTTCGTCCTGAGTTCCATGTAATTTCAGGATTTTACACTTGTCTGAATTCTTGCTCTTGCAACACACCACCAGTAGTATTGAACCCCATCAAAAGCCAGTCAGTGTTTGAAGGGCAAGCCTTGGTGTTTTCCATCCCAGGAGAGACCTTTTATGATAAAGAAGATGGATACAATCTGGCCTTGAGCTTAAAAACAGAGACAGATGAGGAGCCCTCAGCTTCATGGATCCTCCTTGATAAACAACAAATAAAACTGCTGCCAATTGACAAGAACAAAATTGGAACGCACAAGTTTGAACTGATAGCAACAGACAAAGAAGGTTTGGAAGGTCGTGATGAAATTGAAGTGAACGTTCTAGATGACAGAAGGCTATATAACCACATGTTTAGTATCAAAATTGAAGATGGATCTGCCGGGTTTGATGCCAATGGCAGAGTTAATTTTGTGCGGTTACTTGCCAACTACTTTGGTGTGAACTTAAAAAATGTCACTGTCCGCAGCTATGGCTTATGGCCAGCTGTTCACACAACTTTCCAGTTTGTCCAGACTAACCAAAAGTGTGATAATCCAGAATTGCGACGGTGGAGAGCCAAGTTTATGAAAAATGGACAATTAAATACAGAATTCAGTGATGCGCTCAGACCTAACTTTCAAGTTGTGTCTGGGTCATTTGAATTTAAGGATATCTGCCAACCAAGTCCAGGACCCGATACTGCACCAGAATTATACAATCACATTGACCGCCTCAATGTATACCAGGGACAGGGTCTACGATTTTTCATTCCAAGTGACACATTCTTTGACAAGGAAGATTTCTTCACACCAAATTTGACGCTGGAAATGCAGACAATCAATGGTAATGCACTTCTCCAAACATCTTGGATCCTCCTCAATTCTTCCCGCCAAGAAATCTATGGTTTACCTTCTGATGTTGACTCCATTGGATTACATGAGTTTTTGATGGTGGCAGCTGACAAGGAAGGAAGTAAGGCATATGATGCGTTTGAAGTAAGAGTGCTTGAAGACATTGTACGCTACAACCACAAGTTCAACATTTTGATAGACTATGACAATATTACCTTTATGGATAATGTTGGAGTAAGAGTTATCTTGTTGGAGAAGATAGCAGATTACTTTCGTGTAAACTTCACCAGTGTCCGAGTGGCTGGCTACACCCCTGGGGTACTCTTTTCCTTCTATTTTGATTTCATTCCCTATGAGGACTGCTCAAATTCTTTACTGGCAGAACTTATTGATGGATTCTGGTTTGGCTCAGAACTAACTCCACAGTTTGTAACTGCATTAGGTCCAGAGTACAGAGTCATATCTGGATCCTTCAAGAGTCTTCCTCCTTGTAGCTCTTTTATACCAGGAGATCCAGAAGCGATTGGTGACCGCCCTGGAGGAATATGGTGGACTTATGCAATCATACCTGCCATTGTACTTGCCATTGTTCTCCTTCTCATTGGGTGCTGTGTTTTGCTTTTCATGGGATGTTGCAGAAAGCAGAAACCCACAGGGGCAGAGAAGACAACTTTTATTTACAGGCGAAAGCCAGTTGTTCTTCAGGAAGAATATGAGATCAAGGAACAACTACTGAAGCAGCCAATTGTCTTGCCAAATGAAAAACCACCAGTGCCCCCTGCGTTTCCCCACAGCCCTGTCCTAAATGGTGACAGAACTCCACTCCTGATGGAGGAAACAAAGTCAGTAGCTTACCAAGCACCAACATTTCTGTCTAGTAAACAAATGTCAAGTGGTGGTGCTGGTGGTGCTGGTGGTGCTGGTGGTGGTGGCGGTAGTGGCAATGCAGGATTTGTGGCAAATGGTGCAGGAGGAGGAGGTGGAGGAGGAGGCGGAGGAGGAGGAGGTAGTGCGGTGGCTGGTGGTGGTTTCAGTGCATTTAGTGGGGCGGCTGGTGGAGGAGGTGGTTTTGGAGGTGCAGGTGGTGGTAGTAGCAGTGCAGCTGCTGGTGCTGGAGGAAGTGGCAGTGCAGCTGGTGGCGGTGGAGCTGTTGTGGGAGGCAGTAGTATGTCTGGTGGTGGTGCAGGAGGAGCTGGTGGTGCAGGTGGAGCAAGTGCTAGTGGTTTTGGAGGGGGTGCAGGAGTTGGGGCTGTTAGTTTTAGTATGGCTTCTGGTGGTGGTGGAAGTGGTTTCAGGCAAACCTCATACAGCTACAGTTACAGCAGCAGTGGAGGCAGTGTATCCAGTGGAAGTCGTAAGGCAGCCTATGCAGGCTACAGACTACCTCCGGCCTATGTGCCACCATGAGCTCAATAGAAGAGAAGTTTCTATGCATTACATTTGGGTAGCAAAACTGTTGAAAGAAACATTTTTACCTACCAAAACATGTTTGCAGTTGCATTAAGGTGGCAAAATATGGAATAATATGCAAAGGAACATTCTGAAGAAAGCTGAAAACCTCCTGTCAGGAATGCTGCTTGTTATAAGGAATATATATCAACAAGGACTTTAGTGAATGTTTCTATAGCTTTTTTATTTGTTGATTGTGGTGCACATGTCTGTGAAGTTAATAACACCAATTATTTAATAAGCAAAGAAACCACAAAAGTGAATACTGCCAAGGATTATTCACTGTAAGTGATATTAAGGCAAGTAAGAGTGCACGAGTTCTAATTTTTGCATGATTGAACTTTAACTCCCAAGATCTGATTAATTTGTCATTCTCCCTTTTAACTTTTACACAATTCTTTGAAAGCTTGTTTGGAGAATTTGATATTCTATGATGGCAACAGCCTTAAGCTGATAAGGTTGCATATTCTCATCACATCTTGGCTGGATAATGTATAGAAAGTGTTTGGTGTTTGAGAATCCATAAAGTAACTGCTTGTTGAAGTTCTCTTAGGAAACTGGTAGTTGCTACTGTTTGCTCTTAAGAAGTGAAATTTAGAGCTTCTAACAAGAATTTGCATATACTGTTATTAAGAAAATGGTGTAAAATTTCTTAATTTTGGATATTTAGGGTGCAGATATTTGCAGTAATAAGTACAAGTTAGTGGTTAAACTTAAAAGAGCCAATGCTTGGAATTAAATTGCACTTTTCAATAATTTCAAGTATGCTAAAAAAAAAGGTTATTTTAAATTAATTTTTTTTTGTAGAAAAAATGTATGGAAGAAAGTCTTTAGTGGCAACATAATTATCTTATTTGAACGGAATGTCACATTGTCCAGCAGTTATTATTATTATTATTGTATTTATCAAAGGGCCTGTCATTCATTTATTTGATGTTAAAATTACTTTGATCAAACACAACCAGTGCAGGAAATTTTTTTCTGTTATTTGGATTTATTATTCTTAGTTTCACAATGTAGATATAATTTCAATTGTAGTGGTGTCTTCACAAGGTGAAGACAATCAGTTTTGTACGCTTTAAACTTTGTGTTGTACATCTGAAGTAACTATACTGTGAGACAAACAATAATAGAGTCTGACATGCCATTTATCTGTGGTGTGTGTGAGTGAAACTTTTACTGTCTTTATCAGTAATGAATGTTTTACATCAGTGAACAGTTAAAATCTTTTGATGACATTGGCATTACTACAATTTTCCTGTTATTATTTGTTAAATATTGTTATGTCCATAAAAAAGCTGTTTCACAGTATGGTTCATAATTATAGTCTTAAAAAGCAGACTGTTCAAGTAGTATAATTAATTGAAGTAATTCATTCATCAGATTGTTTCTTGGATATATTGGAAACCATAGGAAGTAGATTATTTGTATCTATTGATGAGAGCTTTGACAATTTTATGTTCAGGTCTCATTAACAGCTGATTTTTGTAGCATTAGGGTTGTTGTTGGAACTTCCTGAGTTGCACTGACTTAGGATGCCATAGTTTGACAGTGAATCTTGTTCATGCCTTTGCTTGTAAATTTAACATGAATCTATCGTTTGAACTGTAAACAGTTCAGTGTGGTGAAAAAGTTCTTGCGTTTAAAGTATGACTTCTGCTTTTGGAAATGCTTTGCCTATGGCAATTTTGGAAAAAAAATAAACTTCAAATGTTCAATGTACTTTCTTCGACACTTTTTGGTGTTCAAATAGTTTCCTCACAAATGTTTTTGTCAATAGATCAGCCATCTATAGTGAGCGGAAGAATTTAGGTTAGCATGAGTTGTTAAGGGCAACAGAAAGTTGTAACATATTGGCCCACCCTTAAAAAACTAGCACCACTCCAGCTATTTCCTAACAATTTTCAGTCGCCACTATTACTGCAAACGAATACAGGAAGGGTGAGCAGAAGTACAGCGCCGTGTGGTTGTGACCTAGAAAAGTAGAATTATAACTTGATTTCCGCAGCCATGTTGAAGGAATAGCATCCCAAACGTAATGTTGCTACAAAGTCTGATTTTGTTTTACAAATGTTAAGCCTGAAAGCGACAGTTTCTATAACATACCTTCACCCGCTTCTCTTGACGAGTAGCCTTGCTCCCAGAGTGCAAGCGAGACTTCGAGGACTGCGTGCTTTGAACGATTGGAAAGTCAGGAATATGTGTCTGGAACACGCGTCAGGAACTCGTGGGATTTTAGAACGAAAAAAATTCTCAGAATAATCTAAGAAACTCGCAATACTTGAAAATGAAATTAAAATATAGATTTAGCTTCTCTGCGGAAATCACTCGAGATTCTCAGACGACCACAATGAAAATATGTTCAGACTGTAACCACAAGCCGCAATTTTCTGTAAGTTATGCAGGCATTACCCTCCTCCCGAGATCCGGAACTCCCGTTCCTTTTAATAGGATAATAAGTAAAATCCTAAACACACTTGTGGTCAGCGTATTGCGAGCGGATTACTTTTACGCCCACCACTAAACGGAAATGTGGTTTTTCATACCCACCCCATATTTCTTTAATCACAACTCGTCACTTTAAGAACACTTACGAAGCTTATTACAAGAGTCGCACCCAAATTGCAGAAGTTCTTTTGGACGGTCACAATCTCTTCGCGGTTCCGCAGAAGCGGTGATCACGCATTCCATAAAGAAGCCTCTCAGAGAATGCGTGACCAGCTTATGGCAAGTATCGAACATGAAGGCTTTCATCTGACTATCACGAGAGGGTTCTGACCGAACAAGAGACAAACAACCGGTCACCTCTTAAAGTTACTGTCTTACGTAAATATAGTAAAATAACAAGATCAACAAGGAAGCAAAGTGAAGGTGACAATTGAAGACTCGACGCTGTGTCATGTTCATCAAATTGTGCAGCTCGAAATGATCTCTCGTCAGCTGTTCCTATCTAACGTCAGTGCATATGAGAAAGGATAACCTATTCTCGCTGAAATATACCTCCAGAATCCGCAAATTTCTTCTAGACGCGTAAGAAAACCATCGTTATATTGCATTTGCTTGTAAAATTACATAATCTTAAACGCGGGGAAAATTTTGGATCGAGAGTGCCTTCTACACAACGAAAATTGCTAGATTTAGACGTTTTTAACAGAAAAAACTGTATGCTATTGACGCAATTTAAGACGTGTGGATCTTTCAAATAAATATTGATAACCTATGCTGATGTTTGCTCGCCCTATCAAGAGGTACGACCAAACCTGATTGGTCTGATTGCGCGCAACCTCGGCGGAGCCACGAAAATGGAATCTAGCAATTAACCTTATCGCCGAAGCTAAAGGTGACCTTAGACTGCGAGATAAAAAGTTAGATAATGTACTTCAGTGCCAACTGTTGAGAAACGATAACTGTGATATGACACGTTTGTTTAAAGCAACACGGGTTATTTAAAGTACTCTAGCAGAAGGTGTGTCTACAACCCAGTGATAATTCTTAAGTCCTTTGTCAGCTACTAAAACTTTACAGTCACAGAACACAATTCATATGGTCTTAATCCACATTTTTTTTCGCTTAGGAGACTACTTCAATCTGCTAACGAAGTTAATGCCAACATGTAATTACCTTAGAATGAACAGAATCGAAAAAGAGCAATCTTCAGATTAATGTCCCATCACCCTCACTAGTAAATTTAATTTGGCAATTGAGAGCAATTCAATTTTACTCCAAAGACTTACTGAATGCATTGTTGTCAAGAACTGTTTATCTTTCTTTACACATATTTGCCCGACCTATGTTGATTTTGTTTATCTTTGTGTCGCGCATAATTCTTTTCCCCCAGGATATAATTTCGCCTCAATCCCTTTCATTACTTCACTCTTGTTATTTAAAGACAAGACTTGAAAGAGGCCTAACTTTTTTAGTTCTTAAAAGCGAATATAATCCCAAATACAAACAAGGTTCTAACAATTGGCAGACAATCACAACACGCACATTCTGAGATAAGAACTGTTTTTTCTTTTACACTTAAAAGCTGTGTTTGGCTTGGCCGTCTATTTATCAAGACCACAAAATTGTAAGAATACAAATTAATAAACATGTCCTCAAAGAAAAGAAATATTTTGCATAACTGGCGTTATTCACTGGCTAACACGTAGGAATATGTTACCGTTAGCCTCCTGTTTCTAAAATTCGGTCAAGCGCAGAGCTAATTTCAAATTTATCGCGTGAGTGGCATGTGATACGCGATGGTACGGTAAAAACAGTCTTTTTTCATTACAACTTCCCTCTGCATGAAAGAAAACATGGGATTTCAGAGGATTAGCATAGCCTTGAAATGAATTCTTCGTCAGGCTTATCTTGAACAAAATCCTCCAAACTTTAAATGACCTTTATACTGAACTGTTGAGCACATGTGACGGAAAAATCGCACAGCGTTTGTCCAATCAGTTCTCTTTAGATAGAGGCAATTTGATACTGGCCAATCTCACACTTCTGTCATCAGAGGTCAACCAGTGACGTGAAGCATACGAAAGCGTAAGGGACCCGCCAGTGAATGAGCAATTGATAACAGCGAGTTAGCGCATTTCAAAGCTTGGCCCCGCGTAACACTACACGGCTATTCAAGGAATTAATTCGATTCCTATTGTTTGTAAACTTTGGCAGATTTCACGCCGAAGTTGACTTCAGGACCGGACGGGCGATCGGCAGGCAAGCATTCTTTCTGTTAGTGCGAATCTGGGTAAGATTGGGTAGAATACTTTCCACTACTTAATCAATCTTTCATTGCGAGTGAATTCACTCCTTCTGGGCCAATTCGATCGGAATGCTTCGCGGTTGAGTTGTCGTTTCGGAATTTGTGTCGGTATTTTGTCGCTCAGAGACTCTTCTTTGCAGTTCATCGCGGCGTCCCTGATTACTCAGGGTGTAAATATTATTCTTGAAGGTTCATCCTAGTGATGTTTTAGATTCCTGTAGGCATACTGCGACTCGATCAAAGGAACAGGCCAAGAAGGTACAAATATAGGATTATTATTCCAGTAAGTGACAGCAGTGGAAGGGCGAATATATCATAATATTTTCGCATCAAATTGCTTCCTTGATTAAGAGGAGAGCTGGCTAAACCTTTGATCGCTAAATTAAGGGTGCTAACCATTATTTTTCTCGCCATATCGTCTTAATTCACAGAGGCCTTGTGCTGTCCTAAAGGTAGTACCCTAAAGAGACCTTGAAACAATATGAAGGTTTTCCTTGTTGGATTTCTGCTAATTTCCGTGGCTCTCGCAAGCGAGCGAAGCAACGTCCAATTGCCTGAAAAAATCGAAAGCGTGACAGCTGTTGTAGGAAGAGTTTTTGTATATAATTTGCCAAACGAGGGTGGCCATGAAACCATATCTAAGGTGAGTGTTAAGTTGTACGCGGGGTGCTGACAAACCCATGTCTATATGCGACATTTCTTTTGTGTTTTTATGTGTTAACTTAAGTACGACTGTCTTTGTTTCTACACAAACATTTCTCTTTTGTAAAATATAGCCATTGATTTTTCTTACTGGCGTCTTAAGGCGGTGTAAATTCGCTGAAAGACGCAAATTTTGCCTAACTGTCAGAACTCTGTCGCCTCAAGTATGAAAATTGATGATCTTTCTAAATAATTCTGAAAATAATCTTAAAATCTATGTAGCATTCGTAGTAGTGCGTCAAATGAAAATACAAAATGCACCAAGATTACTAATTGTTCATTTGGGTGAAAGCAAAGCACATTCGAAGTAGAGCGGTCTAACGATAATACAATACGCGCAAAGATCACTTAATGTTCATTTGGGTGAAAGCGAAAGCACGTTTATTTGAAGCCACATGTGTTTGCAATTTTTCTATCACTCCGCATACGACAACAAGAAGATACTTAAATTCTCGAGTATTTATGCGCAAGGTGCCCTTGGCTTCGTCAGTGTAATCCACGATTTTTAGAGATGTTTGAGTTTCAGAGTTAATTAGACAAACGAACGTGATCTTAATTTTGTTATAACTATTAATTGGAAGATTCTTATTTCGCATGCACGCTCACGGTGTCATTTGCCAGGTTGGAACAAAGGAATAGGGTGTAGAATGAAGAAATCAAAACCCGCTGAAGTGTCAAGCAGATGAAACACAGAGAGCATGCCATTCATAGCGCAGAAATTCTCTTCAAACCGCATTTCATTTGATTTGCTACCAAGAGGTTTTATCGCCAATTCATCTGTGAACGAACTTGAGAATGAAAACCTCCTCTAAAGCTTAATTTATTTGGGGTCGTTTAGTGCACAACGATTTAAAATCAAGCATGTTTCTGTACTTTTTTTGTTGTTTATTTCTAAAGAACAATTCGCGTTTGTCTGCCCTACATGTGGCGTCTGGCGCTGGGCAGAAGTACAAAATATATCACTTCCGGTGAAAACCTAAAAGGATCTTCAATGACCCCACCTGGAAATCGATGTAAAGTAAAACATTGATAAAATTTTCCAAATGATTTCAGAGTTATTACGGTTAATTTTTCAGATAGAGGTTCCAATTATCTCTCTCTCTTGCACTTCGACAATGCGTGATTTCTGAGCGAACTGATAACACTCCTGATAATAGCTCACCGTTTTGGAACTTGCTATTAGAAATTATTGTTACGTAAATTATGTTTTTGCGGTCATGGTATGGTCGGGTGATTTCATCGAGATCATAAGAATCGAAACTTATCGCACGAGTGAAAAGCGTGATTCACATTGTTAAACATTGCGTAACGCGTATAATACACTTCTTAAGAGACTTGTAAATAGTTTAATACACTTCCTTTGAGTCCAATATCGGAAATCATGGAATGGACGAATTTTTATGATGTTTGCCGCAACCTTTGTTTTGCCTTCTTTTTATTGCATGCGGTTCCCTTTTGTTTGATATAAATATATCTGATTGTTTTATGGTCAAGCTGCTCACGAAAATGGTCGAAAAATTAACACCATTGTGCTTGAATGAATGCAAGGAATTAACGATTATAAACTAATGATCTACTTGTTCCTGTCAAATAACTCTCTTTGCCGGAAAAACTTTTTTCATGAAAATATTTCGTTCTTATGCTAGATCTTTCTTCACTTGATGGTTATTTCACAGCATGTTTTAAATTTCAATTTTTTGGAAATAAAAACAAAATATGTTTTCAATGAATCAGGGAGTTTCTCATTAGACAAGTTTTGGTCAAAACTTCACGTGAATCCAGCCCAAACATAAAAGAAATTTAGGAAAAAATTTAATAAACTGCGAACCTCAACAGTTTGAGCTTTCTTTTGTTTGTCTGTTAGCCCTTTTAAGACCGTGTTTTGCTTTCTGTCGGGTCTACCTAAGGATTGACCGAGAGAATGAGTAAGTTTTGACCTTCGAATTTGCAGTAAAGATGTTCTAAATTTATCTGAAACAAATGTGAGATCAGAAAACATTTGAAATGTTTTCGTTTCGTTTATATTCCATTAATCCCTTAATTTGTTAGTGAACCATGGCGAGTTGATTTGTATGCAATAATAACTAGGAATTAAGTCGATTTAAAAAATAAATTTAATTTGACTGCTTCAATGAATTTGGGAATAGCTGAGGCTGGGAAGATTTTTAAGGGTGTAAAAAAAATGAAAACATATGCTGACAAAAAGCTTTTATAAGGTTAAGTGTTTGAGACCAGAGGCAAAGGCTAACATGAGAAATTGTATCCCTGGCAGTTGTTAATCGAATGTCACGCAACGAAGGTACTGTTGCGTGACGCCAAAAACAAAAACTTGACCTCTGTGACAAGGTACCTAATGTTGGGCAAGTCAGCTCATTCTGAAGTGTCGATAACAAAAGTGGACATAATCCGTATATATTGTTCCATTAAAAGAACGTTATTGCTAACAGTCTCAGAAGAACGAAAATCTTGATTTACCTCTCCTCGCTTGTCAGGCAATCCAAAGAGGACAAGAGACACTGCCACAGTGGCTGTCTTTCAATGCAGGAAAGTCGTCTTTACTTGGAGTTCCCTCATGGCGTGACAGAGGCGGAATTTCGATCGATTTTCAATCGCAAGATGGAGTTGTTGTACATTCACTACAAATCGAGATCAAGGACTTGCGTGACGGAGCGTTACAGCCCGCGTCACGCTCAAACAATACTAAGGAGTTTTCTTATTCAAAACCGAAGTGCCCTAAGGGACTACCTGTCGCAGCAGCCTCCATTATACTTGACTATCACTTGGAGAAAACCACAGGGTTAACAAGGGTAGAGATTATGAACAAAGTGGGCGAGTTTGTCGACGTGGATGTTGGAAATCTGCACATGTTGGCGGGAAAAGGACACAACACAGCATTCGGGCTCAAGGATGTGATTACAGTCACAGCAGGCCCAGGAAATGTTGGGGACCCTAAGCAACCGGGCCTGGTTATCTCTTGGCAGATTGGATGCGGTATTGATATTCCTATGGCTGGTAAGTTTTTGCGTTGTTATCTGGCATGAACTGTCATGCAATTCTGCGTCATGACCTTAAAAACCCATTTGTTTTGGTAGTAAGTGAATCTTAAACCTCCTCGGTACACCGATGGGTTTTTAACAGTCGTGTACTGAAAAAAGTCTAAGCTGAAGAGCACTGTTCTGAGCATTCAAAGTAGCAGGAACTTTCCGTTTCCAGAGTTTAAGAAATGACGGTAATTTTTCTTCGTGTAATGCTTGTAAATGCCCTTCGGTTGATTATCCATGATCCTCAACACTATAAAAGAAAAAAATCAACGAGCTGAGCATGTCTTTCAGTTAACCCCTTTGACAAATGGGAAATTAAGTAAGAGGTAATCTACAGAAACTATGTAATTTTCTTCTCTGCCATTCAAGAGAATGTTTGATATCATGACACGAAACTGTCCTCAAATATACGGACGCTACTAAGCTGGAATCTTTCTCAGCGACCTGTACAAGTTTACAACGCCTCATTCCCGTTTTATCCGTCATTGATGATCCGTTTTAACTTAAAGGAGCTAAAGAAAAAAGTCATTTTAACTGCAGTAATGATTTTTTATAATGATAACGTATGCGATTTGGTTCAATTTGTGTGTTCTAGTTATTGAATAGTTTCAAGATGGAGGCGTCTGTCCGCTCGAGTCGAATTTCTATCTCATTTGAAGAAGATTTTCGAATTGTTAGGTTATTCATTGGAAGCTTAAAACGCATTTAGTGGTGAATTTGTTCAGGAATTTTTTCATGGCGGAGAAGAAATGATATGGTTTCCCAGTCTGGAGCTACTCTTTTTTACTTCAAAGGGAGATTTTGTTCCACGCCCGATCAATTTTTCACAGCCATTCTAATTAACGGATAAACCCTCGATTTCACTTGATGTCATAAGTAAGTGAACCCATTAAGACACAACTGTTGTTTGACCTGTTTTTATAGGAGTAAGAATAGCAACCTTCCTTAAATCAAGCGCGGAGACTGGATCTTTCGGTCCGGTGCTTGGTCTCCCTGTGTCTGAGTGGCATATATCCATTGGTTACCCTAAAGAACCTCGTCAAAGAACGCGTGGGCAAGTTGCACAGGACAGTTCTCCTAAAGTTGTTAAACGATCAACGAAAAGAAACGTCCGAGCGATTCAAGCAACCCCTACTCCGACTCTGACCGCTGTTCCTCCTACTTCGGTCGTCGCCAGTCTCACAATAACTGTTACAAGGACAAGTTCTGTTGTTCCGACTTCAACTATAGTCCCAACTACAACTCCGGTAGCTCCGACAACCACCGAACAACCGACGACAACACAACAGCCAACCACCACACAGCCACCTACAACGACAGAGAAACGGACCACGACCGAGAAACCAACGACCACTCGGGAGCCAACTACGGCCCAGCCACCAATCACGACAGTAGAACCGACCACCCCCGAAGAGACGACTACTACCGAAAAACGAACTCCCACCACAGAATTAACCACTACCAAACCACCGAAAACGACCGTAAAATCGACCACCATCAAAGAAACGACCACCTCCACAGAATCCACGACAACCGAGCGTACGACCACGAAGGAAAAACCGTCCACCACCGAAGAACCGACTCCCACCGAGAAATCGACTACCGCCCCAGAACTTACCACCACAACACGAATGTCGACGAAAGAAACGGCAACTACTACCGGAGAGTCGACTACTACGGAACAACCAGCTGCCACGACAAAACTGACCACAACCGAGCGAGCGACGACAACCGAACAGCCGAGCTCTACAACGACCACTACAGAAAAACCGACAGCTACTGAACTAACGACAACAACAGAACAAACGACGAAAACAGAACAAACGACAACAACAAAACAAACAATCACAAAACAAACAACAACAAAACAAGCAACAACGACATCAACGCCAAGCACGACTGTTCTATCGACCACTAAGAAATTAACAACTACAGAGCAACCAACAAGACCCCCTACCCCTATAAAATTATCGACTACAGAGCAACCAACAAGACCTCCTACCAAAGTGGTGTCACCAACCATCTCCTTCCCAAGGGCGGTGAACGAGATTGGTGCCATTGATATTAATCGAGGCCAAGTGTTTCGGTTCCATATCCCTCAGGACACGTTTTATGATAATCAAGATTTTTTCACTCCAAACTTGACTCTTGCCTTGAAAACGTATGACTGGAAGCCTCTCGGGAATAATTACTCATGGATCAAATTTGATGCCGAAAAACAGGTAATTTATGCCTTTCCGATCGACAAAGAAACAGTCGGTACTCACGAATTTTTGATGATCGCGAGAGATAAAGATGGAAATATGGGTGTTGATGCATTCCAGATAAACGTTGTGGACGATTCATCAGTCTCCTACAATCATCGGTTTACTCTAGAAGTCGATTATGATTACGAGGAATTCTCCAAAGACTTTGACAACCAAATGGAGCTTGTTACAAAGCTTGCAAATTATTTTAACGTGAACTCGAGTAGCATCAGAACCGTATCATTCACTGCTGGATCTGTGGTAATGAAATTCCAGTTCGATTCATCAGAGGTTCCCTACGACGAGTGTGATTTTCCTCAGAGAGCAAAATTCCTTTCTGAGGATGGTGATGATGTTAATCCTGATCTTAAAAAGGCTCTTGAGCCCGAGTTCCCAGTCGAATCAGGAAATTTTGAAGGTCTCGGACCCTGCGGAGCTGTGGTAGACGTGCTGCCGGCATCACCAACCATCTCCTTCCCAAGGGCGGTGAACGAGATTGGTGCCATTGATATTAATCGAGGCCAAGTGTTTCGGTTCCATATCCCTCAGGACACGTTTTATGATAATCAAGATTATTTCACTCCAAACTTGACTCTTGCCTTGAAAACGTATGACTGGAAGCCTCTCGGGAATAATTACTCATGGATCAAATTTGATGCCGAAAAACAGGTAATTTATGCCTTTCCGATCGACAAAGAAACAGTCGGTATTCACGAATTTATGATGATCGCGAGAGATAAAGATGGAAATATGGGTTTTGATGCATTCCAGATAAACGTTGTGGACGATTCATCAGTCTCCTACAATCATCGGTTTACTCTAGAAGTCGATTATGATTACGAGGAATTCTCCAAAGACTTTGACAACCAAATGGAGCTTGTTACAAAGCTTGCAAATTATTTTAACGTGAACTCGAGTAGCATCAGAACCGTATCATTCACTGCTGGATCTGTGGTAATGAAATTCCAGTTCGATTCATCAGAGGTTCCCTACGACGAGTGTGATTTTCCTCAGAGAGCAAAATTCCTTTCTGAGGATGGTGATGATGTTAATCCTGATCTTAAAAAGGCTCTTGAGCCCGAGTTCCCAGTCGAATCAGGAAATTTTGAAGGTCTCGGACCCTGCGGAGCTGTGGTAGACGTGCTGCCGGCAACAAAATCAGGTCGGTGGAAGACCTACGTGATTATCCCAGTGGTGATTCTTGCCGTGGTGCTTCTTGTGGTGGGCATATGTCTGTTCCTTGTTTTGCGGTCGCGTAAGAGACGAAAGCTCTCTCTAGAAGACCAACAACTCTACGTGTACAAGCGCAAACCGGCTGTACTTCAGGAAGAGTACGAGGTCAAGGAAAGACTTCTTAAACAGCCCCTGGTGTTGCCGAACGAGAAACCACCTCTCGCTGCCCCAGTTCACCCGAGGAGCCCATCCCTAAAGCACCAAAACGGCGAGCCGCCCCAGTCCTCATCTTATCAGGCCCCGACTTTCACTTCATTCATACAGTCGAGCAATCAGGGAACACCCAACGGAAACAGCCCCCGGAAACCCGGGTATTCGGGATACCGGTTACCCCCGGCGTATGTGCCCCCTTGAGGACAATTTACCACATAGGACCGTTTGTTGCTATCGCGAGACTTGCAAAAAATGAAGAGACGAGACTTAGTACCAAAACTGAATACTGAATTTATTACTCGTGTTAACGTAGTAGAAACTCGACGATTTCCATCGTCTGAAGAGTTGTAAGCAATGTATGTTTTCGGTAATCGAGCTTCCTCGCTCAAACTTGATATTCTTAATTCTTATTGTGCCGACTCTAAAGCGAAAAAGACAGCGAATTTTGGTCTAAGTTTTCTTTGCGGAATTTTTTAACCCAGTTTAGTGTTCTGCGCATACCCATCAACCGAAAACTAGAATGAAAAACAGGCTTCTCTGTTGATTAGGAAAATAAGTTTTTAAATCCTTTATAAGCCAGGGTTGTTTCAAAAATAACATTACCTCACGAAATTCTAGTATCTGAAAAAGAAGCAACACCCTTATTGTCGAGGATTTCCGTAGTAATTAAGCGACTATATATAACAATTTAAGCCTCTAAAAAAGGGCTTACCACAAATACTCTTTACAAAAATGAGTCAAAAGGAAGATAACGAAGGAGCGGTGCAGAGAGAAGATTCAAGAATTCCACATCGTTACGAAATTATCAAGCTTATACATTTCGAATCTCACAAATATCGTTCACAGTTGCATCGGTGTGGATGCTGTTTTGTTTTTAACCCGCTTATCAAAATGTATGTATGTCTACAATTAGGTTATAATCCTTGTGCCTGTTTAACTAATTTTTAAAAACGCATTAAGAGATTAAATTGATAACTTTTTCACTGATACGTTGTGATATTTGTTGATCTTCAGCCAGAGGTCGACATTATTGCATCGGCTAAGTTTGTTTTGCTTGCCCTGCACAGAAATTAAGCAGTTTAGACTGAAGAACCTCGGGAATAAGAACCTTGTGAAACTATGCCATTTTAAATCCTTTTTAATCTTCTTCATCGAAAGCTATGATGGTCTTTTTACGGCCTTCTCAAATTGTATTTTTGCGACTTTCACGCAGACGCAGTTTTCACATTCGAGTTTCAAACAGCCCACACAAGCCAGTAATTCACAGAATTTAAAAAGCGTTAAACGTTTATGGTGAATCTCATAAAAATGATAAATCAACACGATACCTGTACTTGAATGAACAGTTGTGTTCGGAAAGTCTCAAGTTTTCCTTACCATTATCTTGGTTTCCTTTTAGGGATTTCTGTGAACGTTTAATTTTCTTTTGCTTATTTTCCTTTAAAATTTGGTGCGCGGCTGGCCAAGATTGATCTCCTCGCGCATGCCCGACGTCTCATCGCGATGGTGGAACCGGTTAGGATTCGAATCCTACTTCCGTAAAAATAACGACGGCGATCGACCGAAAAACGTCATTTATTTTAGTAAAGTTAATTTCTGAACATTCAGTTGCCAACATTTACTTTCAACGTAGCGAGCAAAGGAGCTGCGTGATTTCGTAGAAACGGTTTGTGATTCAACTGCCTCACTGAACTCGGCGAATGGTGAGCGAGGAAATGGCGCGGGGACAGTAAATAATCAATAACTCGGTCCTTGTTTCGACAAATTTAATCTTTAATTGAACTGTTAGTGCAGCATTAGTACAAAACCATTATGCGGACAAATCGTCCTTGTTGTTAGAGTTCATTATAGCCCACTATAAGCTTATATACAAACGTGTTTTGAAATAAAATGGTGTCCCTGTGGCGGTAACTTGTGTCCCCCTATTATTATCAACTATTATTAATTATTATCAATTCTGTGCCTCGAAGTTATTTTACATTACAATCTTGTCTTCGTAACTGAATCAAATTCGTAGTAAGTCCTTGTTTTGTTCAAAAAGCAAACGATCAAAAAAGTTTTTTCTTAAAAAATTTTGGTTTACATTTTTTCTTTGCTCTCCACTCTAGTCTCTTTTCGTTTCGTTTGATTGTTTTTTTTTTCAGCTCGAAAGGAGAAGCATTGTGGCAACTTCATCCCGCAATTTCTTTTCCAATTATAGCAATTTAGTTTCGGGGTCTCATTAAATTGTCTCGCGGTTAAATTGAGTGCGGTGTGCTGAGTGGACTTAATGTTACGCGTAGAACAAAAGTGTCGCTGAATTAACTTCCGTAGAGTCAGCGGAAAGATTAGAACTGCATGAAAGCTATTATGCTTATTGAAAAACAAACATTGAAGCATGAGGCTTTTGGGTTTTTTAATGTAACACTGGCCGGGCGTTGTTCGCTAGCATGGCGTTACATAACACGTCACGCTGCACATGGTCACGCAGTCCTTGGACTAATTCTAAATCTGACTTTCTTTAGTTAGTAATAAAAGCGAATAATGCATAACCGATGGTGTTCGGAGAGAAATTTGCTTGCGACCGTTATAAGCCATTTAAACCACGAAAATTTACAATTTAGAACGGACGTAATGGCTGTCAAAGGCACACTAATATGTTCTCCTCCCCTAAATTTTAGACACGACACTTCTATTGCATCGAGCGAGTTCTATGTCACACTATTCTGATGTGACATTCAAATCCCACTTAATTCAAGGACTAAAATACACGCTCGACTACAAGTGATGATGCTTGGACCGGAAACTTTAAAACTAGCGTGCAGAATTTACCCTTATTGCTCTACGTAATGTCCGATTTATCGCTTTTGTTAAATCCTGAAAGCCACTTCGATACATTCCCTTCTGGCTCCAATAAGCTGGAAACTCTGGTTTTGATCAGACCGACCATAGAATTATCTGTTTCGATGTATTCCTCTTGTTCATATTCCTCGTCACCGAGAGTGAACACGACGGGTGGCTTCTCTCGGGTGTCTCTCGTATTCCGAGAGAACAGCGACCCAACATCGGATAGAAGCGAGTTCCCTTGCTTTGCTTTGCTCTGTGGCTTGGTTCCGTTTGGAATTCCGCCTTTGCTTTTTCCGAATGAAGTGAAAAAGTCGTCCTTTGATTTGGCTCGTTGGTGATTCCAGTTGGTCTTCGCGTTGAATTCGTCGTCGTCCCAAAAATCGAGTGTTGATTGGCTAGAATAACTATTAGTCCCTAACCCACTGAGAGACGACCTCCTATGCTGCGCGCGGGTGGGGCCTTTGCTGTACTGATGTGAACATGGATTGACATATTCTTGATACCTTACTTCATTTAAAGTGTAGGTTTCTATCTCGGGATCATTTCGATCTTTGCCTGCGAGGGCATGATTCCAAAGGGCTGTAGGTTTGGCGAGACACGGTGTTTCCTCGTCAAAATCAGCGTCAAAAATTGACTTTTCGTGTTCTGACTTTTCATCTTGACTGAGCTCACTGGGTGCATCAAACAATGAATCGGGGTATTCATCAAAGTCGCTCCCCATGGAATACTTTCTATTACCTTGTGGTTCATTGTGAAAGAAACTAAAACCGTCGTTATGGTCAACGACAGCTTTTGGTTGATTACCGGAGTATGCGCGTTGACGGTGAGCTGGGGTACTGTACTGCGAAAGCTCGTACTCAGAAGTGTTACTTTCACGACCAAGAGAATAACGGAATTCAGAGTTCTCGCTTCGCGCCGAGTCGTAGCTATGTCGGGCATCATCGCAATAACCTCGCTCACTTCGTGTGTCTCTGTATTCCCGAGGCTTGTAAACGTATGACTCATCGTCATAATCGGATTCGTTGTATGCAGCTTCGTGGGTTACATCGTATTGTATATCTTGTGTCTCCTTCATTTCCTTCATTTCCTCACCCTGCGCGCCAGTAGAAAGATTCAACATAGATTTTCCAAAATCCATCAGCTTGCTCGAAAGAGAAGGCGCGGCCGATAAAGTTGAAGACGCCCCGCCTGTCATATCGTTTGGCGCTGCAGAAAGATTAAGCATGGACTTTCCAATCCCTTTCAATTTAGACGATAAACTTGGTTCAGGATTTGAAGACTCTGTTGTAGACTTTGTTTCCTCTTGTTGGCCAGCCTCCGCTTGAGAGATGTTTAACATGGACCTCACACCCTTTATCTTGGTAGAAATGTTTTCAGCGATGTCAGAGAAGTTCATATCCAGTACCGCATCTAGCATGGACGGTTCTGCCTCTTCGGTGTTTCTGTACGTGTAATACGTAGGTATGTTAAGGGGGGGACGTTCGGTGTCGTCATCATCGTCCCACATTTCGCGAACATTGAACGATCCCTTATCCCTATTGTAAGGAAACTTAAACGGGTTTTTTTGATTGGCAGAGTTTTTGCTGTTGTCGGTTGCGGCACTGGCACCCTGTCTGGGGCGATTTGCAGCCGAGTTTGGTACCGTCAAATGTCGACTCGAGGGGCTACCGTTTGGGACATTTGCCTTGGCACCGACTCCTCTTTCGTCCTCTCCGACGCCATCTTCTTTGGAGTTATTGGAGACGGACAGCATTGAAGGATAACGATTGTTAAAATGAACAGTGTGCGATGTTAAATCTGTCATTCCGTCCTCGTTCCTTGGACGAAGGGTACGGAGTGTTCTTCTCTCTTGTACAACTGGACGCTTAGTTCTCATGCGCCTATTCACAAAACATGAAATGCCAACAGGAACTCCGACCACAGCAAGGAGAATGGCGATTGTTATAAAGTGTTTCAGCCAGCCCCACTTAAAAGGTGGGTCGGGTCCTAATAAGTCCGTATCACAGGCTCCAAAAAATCTGAATTGGGCGCTCTTGACTGGGAATCTATTAGTCAGCGCTTTCTTAAACTCCTCGTTAAGCTCCTGTGTTTCTTCGTCAATCACACTAGATTTCAGCTTTTTGTACGTGTCTTCATTACAAGGAGAATAAGGAATGTTACTGAATACAACGGTTAGATTCCTAGACGCCCTATCGAACGACTTCAAGTAAATTATTTTGGGTTTTTCATTGAAAGAGTAACTTGCTAACTTGGTGGCAAAGTTAATTCTCATAGCCGCCTTTGTCATAAACTGATGAAAATTTATTCCTGTAGATAAAATCAGTTCGTGGCTGTGGCTAAATTTGTTAGCTTCTACACGGAGCTCGAAATTAACATTCAAAACTGCCTCTCCTGTCTTATAGTCAACGATCATTTTGTAAAAGAATTTGCCAGCATTTCCTGGTAAAGGAAAACCGTAGACTTCGCGTTTTCTTGCATTAAACTGGACCCATGACGAGGCGGGAATGTCTCCGTAATGATATGTCTTCATTGTGAAGCGAAAGTTTGTAATGTCACTTTCCAAGGCTTCTTCTATCTCTTGAGGAATAGGCTTTCGAAAGGTCTGCCCAACATACGCTATCATAGGCTTTGGTATTATTGTGGTTGTCGGTAAAGTAGAGGGGCTTTTTCCCGCGCCCGTGGAACTTGAATTAGCTGACAATGGATGCTCGGTTGAGTTTATGGACACCAGCGAGAAAAACAACTTGAGGACCGCTAGTGCTTTTGACATTGGAGAGAAAGCGTCTCAGCTTCATGAGCGTGGACGGTCTGTTCAGCTAATACTTTGGTTAAATCTGCTCTTCAAGGATTTTTATGGAACAATTCCAGTAGTAGACATAAACACCTAGAAAAATTATGGACCCAGATTGTTACGTATTAAGCAAGCTCGCTTCATGGAGGAGGGATGAGGGCGGGTTGGGTGGGAGACCCCATACCCGTGGGAATGGGAGATGGGGGGGAACCCTCCCGTACAACATCAAAGAGAGGCACGTCGTACCTTTTGAGGGGTAAACTTTGTAAGGGCGGGGAGCGAGGAAGTTAAGGCGTTAGAGGGCGGTGAAACCCTTTAGAAGGCCTCGAGGTTTTACGATGTGAAATGACTTGTGTCATTGCTGTTTTTG